AACACGTCCGTAAAGGCTATCCCTCTTATAATAAAGAGGCCTTATAAGATATATAAGAACCCTTATACTACCGCCGCTTATTAGTATGTAAGGCCGGATATACGCCCAGCTAGCGACCTAAGATTTCTTTAATATCGAGGTAAGGGTAAGGTAAGATAAAGGGACGCGATTATTTCTTTATTACTGCGATATAAGGGGGGAGCCGAACTATAATAGTAACGCGCGGTTATATAACCCCTAGAGGGAGAGAAGGGGGATAGTATTATGGGTTAACCCCGATATATAGGATCCGGCTATACTCCGGATCTTCCTAACTACGCGCTTAGTTAACGGACCTATATCGCCTAGCTATCGCTACCTTATAGCTAGCCTAGCGCTATAGACTCTGCTCCTTTTCCTCCTTCCTTCCTTAGTTCTAGATAGTCTACTATTACGACCTCACTTAGTGCCACGACCTATAACTAGTCGTTTATATTATTATTAGCTGCTTCGAAAAGGGAGGTTATGGCTCTTTTTAGGATCTTATAGTTTTTCCTAGCCGACGTAGACGCTATAGATAGCTAAAAATCGTCTATATAGGATAACTAAAGATCTTTAAAATCCGGCCCCGCTATAACCTTCCTTTATATAAATTAAGAATAGGATAAGGGAAACCGGGGAGCCTTATAGGACCCCTATATTTAGAGGGGTGGGCTGCTAAACCTGACCCTCGAAGGCTAGTTGGATACGCCTGTTTTCTGTGAAGGAGGCTACCTATTTAACTAGATTCGAGGGTAGTTAGAGCTCTTAAAGGATTCTTAGTAGCTAAGGGCGGGCGACGTAGTCGAAGGCCCCTTTAATATCTAAAAACAGCGTAGAAATTACGGCGTTTTGCCGTGATTTACGCTGTTTTTTAATATAGTGGAGGAGAAGAAGGGCCGTATCGATAGCGGATCGTTATTTTCTACCCCCTATCTAAATAGGGTATAGAAGGTCATCGCGGGTATTAGCTAAAAAGCTTAGTCTAGTAGCTATAACCCTCTCGAGGACTTTACCTAAGCAGTTTAGAAGGGCTATAATCCTATAAGACTTAGGATTAGAATAGTCCTTCTTCCCCGGCTTTAGTAGAACGACCCCTAGGGCCTCTTTCTAGTAGGTAGGGTGGTAGCCTATTAAAAATAAAGCTGAGTAGGCCTTTAAGAAGGGCCCGGGAATAGCCTTATAGACCCATTAGATCGGCTATAAGCTTATCCTATTAGGCCCTGGGGCTTTCCCCTTAGCAGCTTTGAAGATAGCGCGTTATAGTTCGGTAGTCTGTAGGCTAGGCCACTCCCATGGTCTTCTAAGGCCCTTACTACGTGATCTAGTCAGGCTCTGGGGGCCGTTAGAAGGGTTAGAGGGGCCTAGGTCCCCCGAAGGGCCTATAAATACAGGGGCTTTAGGAGCGTCGGTGGCGGAAGGAAGAGGAAGAGGAAAAAGGGTCTGAATAAGGGCGTTATATTTTTTATCGAAGGCGTAGGCTTTCTGCTTCGTAGGCGTTTAAATCGGTGGGATTTTGGCGTTTAGGCCGCTCTTTGTGTAGTTATAGGCCTTAAAAATCTCAGGGCCTTAAGCGTTAGCTAGGAAGGCCTCCTAGTGGTTCTTTTTTGCTGTTTTTACTGCCCTATAATAGGCGTTTCGAGCCTCTTTCCAGGTAGTTTCTAGAGCCGCTAGCCGGGTAGCCGAGGCCCCCTTTTTAGCTTTAGCTTTTCTAAAAACCCTAAAAGCCCTATTAGCTGATTTTCGTAGGGCTTTTAGCCCTAGGGTCCACCACGGTTTCGAACGCTCTACTACCCTTAGCTCAGGCATAGAGGCCTTAAGAGCCAGGGAGATAGTATCTGTTAGGTGGCGACCTATAGAGTCCTAATCCGAGACGTTAATAGCCTGCTATAGCTGCTAGTCGAGGCTAGGCTCTAGGCTCTTTAGGGTGCTAGTAAATAGACCCTAGTCCGCTAGCCTATAATTATAGGCCGGTGGAAGGGATCTATTTATAGGACTCTGAGAGCCTAGAATAGAGGCTAAAATCAGGATAGCGCGGTGTAAGGAGGGAGTATTTTCGATATATTCCTACTTATAAAAGCGGAGACGATTAAAGCCGGGCGTGTAAAATACTAGGTCTATAACCGACTCTTAACGAAGATTAGACCTAAAAAAGGTCCCCCCGTTTAGGTTAACTTCTTCAGGATCCACTAAACAGGTGGCTTTAAGGCTGTTTAACCAGTCTACTAGGGCCTAGGCCTTAATAGAAGCCTGATTCGTAGCAGCCCCGTTCTACTACCAGTGGTTCCTATTAAAGTCCCCTATAATAAGGGTCGGCTTAGGGACCTAAAGGCCCTATAGCACGCGATCTTCGGTCTAGGGTCGGCTTCTAGAGCCTGAAAAAGAAGGAAAAGAAGAGGAAGAAGAAGTCGAAGAGGTAGAGGGGGTAGGGCTAGGGGGCCTTAAAGGCCCTCTGCCTGTTATTTCGGGATCCTGCTCTATCTAATTATAGACATTTAGGATATAGAAGGTCTACGGATAATAGACCTCTATAAGCTGCGCGTCTATATTATCTAGAAGGTCTTCGCGGTGTGAAAAATCGATACCCGAGTCCTTTCTTATATACGTAAGGACCCTAGGTTTAATAGGAAAAAACTGGGTTTTCCGAGACGTAGGCGTGATAGTATAGAAAGCTAGGTGGTTTCGAATATACCACCCTTCTGGTTTTAGGACATAGGAAGGCTCTTAGATAAAGACTATATTAGCCGAAGTCTCTAAAGCCTATTCTAGGATAGCTTTCTGCGCCGGACCCTGTTTATCGACGTTATGCTAAATAAACCGGATTTCTTTTAAACTAAAAGACCCTTTATTTATAGGATTTAGGGTTTAATAGCTCGAAAGACCTCGTAGTTTTTACTATAAGGGGGGTATGCCCCCTCGTAGTTATAGCACTTATAGGTCCTGTGTTCGTAGTCGCCGTATTCCTTGCACTTGTTATAGTAGTGGTCTTCGTCGCTATAGCCCTCCGTAGCGTAGATAGAGTAGGTAGTTAGGCTCTTATAGGTCCCTCGGGTATACCCGAATTTCCAGCAGTTAAAGCACTGGGTCCTAGGGGTTATAGGCCTATATTTATAGACCTTTAGCCGCTGGCCGGCTATATAGAGCCCCTGTTTTAAGCAGTATTTCTGCTCTTTAGTAGTTAGCACTAAAACGATAATAGTGCCATAAAGCCCGTCTAGGGTTCCTAGCTACCGAGGCTTCCCTGCCACCCTAATAGGGTTAAAGGTGCCGATTTCGGTAACTAGGTTCTTTAAACCTAGGCCCTATCGAAGGCTGCGGTTTAGGGCTTTTAGCGGTGTATCGGAAGGGTCGGCAGGGTCGGATAATAGCGTTTCCCCCTCTCCGAAGGCCCTAGTAGACACCTGTTTAATAATAAGCTTAAACTAGTCGCCTGTAGGTTAGGGGGGCTGAAGAGGCAGGTTTAGCTCCTTAAACCATTAATTCTAAGAGTCTAGGAGCTACTAAATGCTATATTTCGGGCCCGGGGTCAAAACAAGGTTCCCGTTAGTTAATAGGCTAATAGCCGTAATAGCAGGGATTTTTAGGGCCTTATTTAGCCTGTTCTGGAGCTCAAGAGGATTAAAGTTCTCCCGGGGGATTGTTTCCCCTGCTATAGGCTATAAGACAACCTTAGGGACCTTTTTAGGGTCCGTGGGGAGGGGGGTCGGGGGGGTTAAAGGTGCTAAGGCCTTTTGGGGGGCCTAGGGTGCTATAAAGCCTGTTTTTCCCTTTACAGCCTCGCTATAAAGGGGTTTAGGTTATTCTGTAAGCCTACGAACTGCTTAGGCTAGTTCGTCGACCTTCTGCTCGAGTATAGGGGGCTAGGAGCCTTATAGAGTTCCGTCGATAGCAGATTTAAGCCCTATAGATAGGGCTTTAATCTAAGGGATAGGGTCGAGGTCGTAGGCCTGTTAGAGTAGCTAAAAAGCCTGCTGGAGAAGTCCCCTAGCCTGGGCCTTACTAGCCGAACTAGTCGACTTCTAGGGCGCAGTAAAGGGGTTACTAGCAGTTCCAGGGGCCTTTTTAGCCTATTTAGAGTCTATAAGGCCCTGTTTTTTAGCAGGGGGGGGCCTAGAGGGCGTTTCGAAGAGGCCTTCGGCCTTAGAGTCGGAGGGGGGCTCGGTTCGGGTCCTAGAAAACCTTCTAGGGGTTAGGGTCGAAGGGCTAAGCTGTCTTTTCGAATTAAGGGGCGTAATAAAGTTAGAAGTCCCTATATTTACAGGGCTTTTAGGGGTTTCCCCTATTTCTACCTCCCCTAAGCCCTCTATAATTATAGGGGGCTTAGGGTTAGTTCCGGGGGCGTTATAGTAGGCTAAGGCGTTATTATGGCTAGTACTATAGCTATTATTATGGCTGGGGTCTTTTGTGGGGTGCTGGGGTCGCGAGGCGTTAGTGGCTACGGCTCTGCGCGGCTGCTTTGTTAGCGGCGCACGGGCTATATCAGATTTTTCCCCCGCACGTGGGGCACCTATAGGTACGTTTCTAGGCGTTTTCGCACTTATTTTACGCCCTAAATAGCGCCTGCGCGATACAGGGCTATAGATAGGCGTATAGAGCTTGAAAAGAGCTATCGATTGATATAGCTTTTAAGTGGTTTAGAGCATTTGCGCGTAAAACGTAGGTCCCCCCACGTGTAATTATGATGGGTGCTATGACCTGCAGCCGTCAATTCGGTGTGTGGATGGCACTTTCCTTGTGCAGCTGGTCAAGTGGGTACCAGACGTCAGTAAGGGGTGGTGCCGCCTCGTAAACGGGGAAGGACAGCCCAACAGGTGGTTTTGCACCCCCACGCGCCTCATTGGTTGACTTTGATACGACATCCAACCACCGCCGAAGTTTTTCAACCTGGCCATCCGTCTCTCACGAGATGGGGATTCTGGCCTACGGAGGCATTTTGGTCCATGAGATATTAGGCGCCAGACTCGGACAAAAAAAAACAAGGCCAAAGGACGACGGAAACATCAATTGTACACGCTATCAAATCGCCCGTTCGTCGTCAGAAGTAAATCCAGACGGCAACTAATACAATACAGTAGAATACCCTGGACCGGAAAGGAGGTATTCTTATATATAGGATTGTGGTATGCATCATGAGCCATGCTGCATACTGGCGAAGCACCAAGACAGTCGAATCATTGACGTCTTCTCTCTTCATCGCCCTATCCGTCTTACGCGTACAGAATCACCACTCTTCACCGTACTGATATTTTATGGACAGCTTCGCGCCACTTCTTTTCGTCGTTCCTGTTGCAGATCGGTTAGTCAGGCGCCCAAGGTGCCCTTAACGAGAAGAAGAAGAAGAAGAAGGGGGAAGAAAGGACTCACTTGTCGAACCGAAGGATTCGTCCTAGCACCGGGACCAACTGCTCCCGTAACTTGTTGTCCTTTTGCTCCAGGAACTGAAGCAGAATCGCCTTCAGATACATCGTGTCACTACTGGGTGCCGTTGACCCGTTGAGTCCCGATCGCGACGAGTCCATGGAGCTACGCTCCGAGCTCAGGCTCGCCCCTAGCTTGGCTTGCACCGCTTTGAGGTCCTTGGACACCTTGTCGTATCGTTGCTTCGACTCCTCGAGTAATTTCCGCAGGTCCGTCTTCTGTTTCTCTGCGTCGCGTACCTGCTCCTCCGAAGCGTCCAGCGCCGCCCGGAGATCCGACGTTGCCGCCCGCATCTCCGCCACCTCGGCTTCCGCCTTCTCCTCGATGGCCTCGAGCACTTCCCGCCGCCGCCGCCACTCTCGTTCCTGAGTCTCCAGCTCCTCCTTTTCGCGAGCAAGGCTCTTCACCTCGCGCTCGAAGTCGCGAAGCTTCTGCTTTTGCTCTTCCAGCTCCCGCGTCTTTCGCCGTGCCAGCGTGTTGGATTCCTCTTCGATACGGTCGCGCTCTTCAATGGCCGCTTCCATCCGCGCCCGCATCTCCCGCACCTTGTCGTCTGCCCGTTGGTCCACCTCGGCGAGGAGACCACGCATCCTCTCTGCCTCGCGGGTCCGTTCCGAAAGATGCTTATGAATATCAGCCAACTCCTCCTCGAGCGACTCCGACTGCGACCGGGCCTCCTTCAGCTGCATAGTGAGTTCTGCCGTCTGGTCGCGCATGCTGCCCAAGAGGCCCTGGGCGTTGGCATATTGCTGCTTCCTCAACTCCGTCTCTTCCTGCAGTGCTCGCTTCTCCGCCCGGAGCTCTTCGACCTTCGTCTCAAGCTCCTTCACCCTCGGCCTCAGCCTGTTCAGTTCGTCCCGAACCGCCTGGAGCTCCCGCGCCATCTCTTCCTTCGCAAGGCTGATTTCCTTCTTCTCGGCCTCTGATCGGCGGAGGTCACGCCCAGAAACCCTCTGGGCGTCCTCGAGGCGCAGGCGGGTGTTTGTTTCGGCGGCAAGCTTCTCTCGAACAGACTTGAGCTCGGTTTCGCGGTCTGTCGCGAGACGTTGGGCCTTATTCAGCTCGGCCATCAGATCCCTTTCCCTCTTTTCTAGGCTGCGGAGATCGGCGTTCTTCGCCGCCAACTCCTCCTTCGTCGACTCGAGCGCCGCCGAATCCTGCCGCAATGCCTTCATTTCAGGCTGCGCCTTCTGCAGCACCTCCCGCAGATCTGTCAGGTCCTTATAGCGCGTCTGGGCAAGCTGCTGTGTCGCCGCTAAATCGGTCTGGAGGCTGGCCGCCTTCGACTTCACTTCCTCGTACTCTTCTTTCAGGTTATCCAATTCACTCTGAAGCTTGGTGGCCTGCGCCTCGGCGCCAGTTGCAGCAGTCCCAATATCTTTCTCCAGCTCTTCGATCCTCGCCTTTAGCTCCGCCTTCTCTCCTTCGAGGGTCTTGATCTTATCCTTGGCTTCGACGTGATCATGTCCAATGTCCGTGATTTCGTAACGTAGGGTCTCAATCTCCTCCGTAAGGTCCTCTTCGGTCTTGCGCCGTTTCGATAGTCGCTCGATCTGGGCATCCTTCTCCGCGACTGCTTCAGTGAGTTTGGCGATTTCCGCCTCAAGAGCCTCCGATGAGCTTGTCTGTTGTGAATCTTCGGCCACTGGCTCTCCAGGCTGAGCGCTGGCTGTACTGGCCGTATCGGGGGCAGATGGGCCACCGCCCGCACCGCCCTTCTTCTTTTTCTTCTGCTTCTTCTTGGATGTTGTAGATGTGGTGGTTGTCGCGGCGGGTTCTGCAGCTGCCGGCTGCGGTGCGCTGGACGTCGATGCGGTAGCAGCAGCTTCCCGCTCCTTTAGGAGCTCTGCAATCTTGGCCTCGTCTTCAGACTTGAGCTTTTTGAGCTCGCCAATCGATTGAGTGAGAGAGTCGATCCTCTTGTCCGATTCAAACTTCGCTCGGATGAGCTTCTCTGCCTGGGCATGTTCCTTGTCAGCTCGCGCAGCGGACCCCGAAGCTTTCGTCTCCCATTCCTTGACCAGGGAGCTTAGGTTGTCCAGTGCAGACTTTAGGGAGCTCTCGGTCTCTGTGAGTTGTGCCTGGGCCTTCTCCAATCGCTCATTCAGGGCAGTGATCTCGACGTCTTTCGCATCCAGCTGGGGTTGCAGAGAAGAACCAAGGGCAGCCGTATCGCGAAGCTCGCTGGTCTCGCGGGTAGCCTTTTCAAGGCTTTCGACGAGTTCGGCGCTCGACTCTCGGGCGACAGCAAGCTCCTGCTTGAGCGACTCCACTTCGGCGTTGAGGTTCTCAATTTGTCCAGCCTTGGCAGCAACGTCGGCCTGCAGTTGGGGTATTTCGTTGTCGAAAGAGAAAAAATCCTCGCTGGCGTCCGGCTCTGCCGGCCCCTCCCCTCCCTGGGGCTTCTGTTTCGGCGAGAAGATGCCCAGGACGGACTGAACAGGAGACTTGCTGGACGAAGGGCTTCGAACATGCCCGCTTGCGGTTTCATCGCTGTCTTTTGATGTTTTCTCTTGCTTGTCGTCAATGTCGGCCGCTGCGTCCGCGTTCGGCTGGGAAACTTTCAAGGCAGCCACTTCGTCCTTCAAGGCACTGAGATCTTTCTCTGCCTGCTCGTACTTCTTCTTAAACTCATCCCTCTCCATGGATACGTTCTTGTATTCTTCCATGACGAGTTGTTCCTTCATCTTCAACGAGTTGAGAAATTCAACGAGTGCCTCAGGCTCCCGGATCGAGCCAACGCTTGTGTGTTCTTTGAGGGCGCGTTCAAAGGGTTCAATGGATGTTGCCCGGCTGTGAGCAATTCTGTAGGAGCGTAGAATCTCTGGGTAGGTCGCCTCCAACTTCTCCAACTTGCGAAGTCTGGCACGGATCTCCGGCGGGAGATTGTTACTGTTCGAAGTTGCAGAATTCTCGGTCTTCTTGGTCTGCAGTTCCGTCGATTTTTCAGAGATGCCCTTCTCCTGGTCGTCCTTCCCACTCTGCTGCGCCGGTTCCAAGTCCCCTGAGGCCTTGGACCCCGAATCGCCGTCGGCCTTCCCCTCTGCCATGGCTACTGACTTTGGCGTACCCGCGCGACTCGGTTCATCGCTATCGTCTAATACAAACGCCGCCTCGAAGACGGCGGGATCAGGGTTGGGCGCGGCATCCGTAGCCACATCTTGACTTCCAGGTTGTTGCGCGCGAGTCCTCTTGGTTTGAGATGAGGAAGTAGTTCGCGAGGTCCCGGCAGAGGAAGATGTGCGCTGGAGTGTCGGGGACTCCGGCTTCTGTCTCGCTTGCTCTTCAGCGATCGTCCGGTCAATCGAAGCCTTGATTCTCTGTTTCCGCCTCTGTCAGCCAAAAGCACTACCAATCGTGACTGTACGCGAAGTTGGGGGTTGTTGTTGTTGTGCTGCCGTTGTTAAGAAGCAGAGGTGACAGAGGACATGGAGACTGACTTGGAACATGATGATGTCCGACGAGGGCGGCGCCTCAGGAACCTGAGAGCTTCCCCTGTTTTTCTGGATCAGGGCCCTACCGGTAGCTGGTCGCCGAAGAAGCAGGCAATATTGGCATCATAAGTCTGGGAATAATTGGTCTTATTGAGTGAAGAAATAGATTGCATGTACGGAGGAAGGCAAGTGTCAGCCTTCAGACCACCCACCCCCTGTTGTTGCGAACAAGTGTTGGATCGGTACGTACCTTGCACAATCAGACACGTGCGCCAAGACTTCTTCACGTCCTGGAGCCGTTCGTGATTATATAATCCAGCATCGTCTTACCGTCGGTGACTCGGTGACGCAACGTACACTCGATGCCGTTGCACCTCTTATCCGTGCTTTGTAAAAGGGTGATTCAACTACACGGGAATAGCGGGGCGTCTGAGGAAATGAGCTTACTGGTCAAGGGGGAAGAACTACCTCATATACGCTATATCTGATGCTTTGAATGAACATTTGTTTCTAGGTACAGTGGACAGTTTGAAGCCGCCCGGGTTTGCGCAGTGACCGGACCCCCTTAGCGTGGTTGTGTTTTTCTCCAGTGTACTACGGCGGTTATGTAGAGATCAAGCAGTTGGCATGACTGTTGCTACGATGACACTTCGCTCAACCCTTCTTGCTCCTCCGTTTCCTCGCGCCCGAGTTGTTGTGCTTCCCAGTACTCTGGCCCTGACTCTCTCCAAGCTCCATCGCCTCACCAGTATCCTCGTCGTCCTCGACGTCCTCATCCTCAGCCTTGAATTTTTGTTCTACGGGAACACCATCATCCGGGGCTTCCCGTGCGCCTCGGAGCACCTCCTTGATGAGACGCTTGCCTTCGTCCACCTCCCCGTTTGCCGCGCCGCACCCCATGCATTTCCAGGTCCCCATCTCCGCCAGGCTCTTGGTCCCAGGTGGCGCTTGGCCGTTCACAAGCCGACAATTCTGGCAAATGAGCACGATGCGGTTCCTGGGCGCCGTCTCGTCCTCGCCGAGAAGTAGATCCAGGATGCGATCATACCAGTGCGGACCGTTGTCTCCAAGGCCGCTTTGAGGCGCATAGTGTTGCGGCGGAGGCGGCTGTGCGTACGCGTTGGGCGCAAACTCGGCTGAGGGCTCAAGACTAGCAACCCAAGATGAACCCGGGGACGGAGGTGCAAAACGAGGGTCGTGACCCGGTTGCGGCGTTCCAGGACCCGGAGTAGGTCCATCAGGTCGTCTGATGTTGGCGGTCGGCGGAGGGGGCATGGTGGTCCGGCCGGGCACGCCTCCTTTTGGCTTACGCCCTTGCCCTGCTTGTTCGGCACCGTCTTCCTGGCCTTCATTGCCAGAGACTGGTTTCTTTTCACCCTTGCCCAGCTTCCCCTCTGAGCCCCCATACTTCTCCAGCAACTCAAGAGTCGAGTTGTACTTTGTGGCATCTTTCAGCTTCTGGATCGTTTTCGCGCGTTCGTCGTGATGTTGTTTGAGCTGCGCAGAGAGGCTCTCGATTCGGAAATTGAAATATCCGGTAATGGACGTTCGAATGATGTATATCCTAAAATCCATGATGCATTAGAAAATCATACGTGGAAATAGTATAGTCTCTCGAGAAAAAAAAAAAAAAAGAAAAAAAAAAGGAACTCACACGACAGGGCCTCCTGCTACCCCGGCCCAATCCCACGGTCCCATATTCTGGTATCCAACCACCAGCAACTGTACGATGGCGAGAACCAGGTACCCCACGGAGAGATACAGCATAGAAAGGACTCGCGCGCGACGGGACGACGCCCTAGTCCGCTCAAGCCAGGACTGCAAGTCGGTGATCTTGGCGGAAAGAGCCGAGAGGGTTTTCTCGAACGAGGCGGGGGAGGAGTCGTCTCTCTACATCATCATTCAATGTTAGCCCGCCCATACGTGCGCATTCAGGACAAAGGTACTTACCCTCCATGGCCAGAAAGACACCATGGCGACGGGAGAAGTATCGTCGCTTAGTGTAACATCCCAAGCCCTGGGGAAAAAAGAGTAGCACGGAACGGATGTATGGCGATTGTATGCCAGAAGATTTGAAATTCCGGTCTCTCCTTGAATGGAGGAAACCGCGAGGTAAGAAAGACGAAAACAAATGGAATTGGCGAAGGTCGAAAAGAGTGGCGACAGCCTGCCAGTTGCTGACTTGATGATCGCAACTACCTTAGGCAGCCGTTGAACGACCGCCAGCTTAGAGATCCTGTCGGTGTGGCAGCTTTGTATACGCCGTACGCAGAAAGAAAGGCCAGCTGGCAGCCCACCAATGAGCCATTGCTGCAGCCGGAAGCTATGGTCCCCACTTTGACCCACTTGCGCACGCTGTTCCCCGCATCCTCCGTTCTCGGGATGCTGCGAACAGGCTCATGCCGTTTTATCTTTTGAGAGCTTGTCTAGGTAGATAAGGTAGTTTACCTAGGTACCCCGTAGAACTTCCGAGCAGGGCAGCCTGAACGACTTTGACTTCACGCCAGGTTGATTTACGTAAAATACTGGCACAAGCCGCTTGTTCTCTTCTTTTCCTTCGTTGTCCTCTGGCTTAAGGTCTGTAGTGTACTCTGCCAGACGCTCTCAAAATACGAATTACGGAGTATAGTGAATACACCATAGCAGAACCAGCTATTGTTACGACAGGCGCGCACATGTTGGGGCCGTGTGTTCTCCCGGCGAGTCGCTACTCCAAAGCTGTTAGATCTGATCATCGTCTTCCAGAGACATCTTTCATCCCGTCTCACTCGGGGGGTTCGCGTTCCGGCTCTCCCCTGATATCCATCGATCTCTTAGAACATGTCAAACATCAGCCAAAAATGCAGGGATGAGAGTGAAACTTGTCAGATTGAGTCCCTTCACACTTATCAGCGCGTCCTACCATCTGGGCGCTGTTCACGCTTTTCGTCCCAAGCCTACCAGGAGTCTTGTTTGTCTAAGACTCATTCTCTACAAGGCCATGCTTGATGGCCGGACAGTGCGTGTCGGGGTTCTACGGACCTTGGTCGCCGAGAAGATAAGAATCTCAGTTGGCGGTATTCAAAAGGTGAAATGGATGCAACAGGCCAAGTCACGTCGCAACTGGGATTATCCCCTTTCTACAGGCAAGACACCTGTCACACTGGTGGAAGCCGATGTCCCGATTCGAACTGGCCTGGAATCAACCGCCCATCAGATCGACTTCGGGGTTCTGTCTTAGGACCATCACTCTCGAGTCAGTAGCCCCGACCTCAGTCTCAAGGACAGAGTCGACTTTGGTCCGCTACATGGTCTTGTGCATAGCAAAAGACTTTGACTTTCCCAAGGCGCAATGACAACGCGGACTCGGCAATCTGGTTAGGCGGTCTAGATGGACTTCAACAGCAAAGGGGAAAAAAGGCTTGCGAAAGCCCCATGGTTGGGTCACAGGGTATCACCCTCTGAAGATACCATCCGTCATGTTTTCGGCTGTTTCTACGTGGAATTGGTGATTCGGATCGAATTCTAGGATGAGTCGCAGGCAACCAGGCATGGAGCCCATGTAATGAGCGTGCCTCAAGGGTTCGCGTGGCTTTTTCGTAAGCCGTCATTCGAACAGGCATTGCGTCAGTCGATCGAGTCGTCGTTGCCAGCGACGAGGTCGGGTAATAGCCGTAGGCAAAGTCCTCGTGGATTCAGGTGCTTTCCAACCAAGCTTAACATACTGAAGGAGGAGGGTTACCCTTCGAAACGAAGCGGCCAAATGAGTATACCGTCAGGCATCTTTGGTTGTTTGTAGAGGACGGCTCCTTTCTCCATATAAATTGGACAGTGAAGTCCCCCCACAAAATAATGCGCGTTGTTGGAAAATAGGATTTCGACGGCGTCCTGTAGGCTTGCTATCGGTCGCCAGGTGTCCAGTTTCGAAGTCCTTATCTGGGTTTGTTAGGGGTGTTGAGTTCTCGAGACTAGGGGTCTTTTCTCTGTTATGTGGCGCATTCCTGAGGAATCGACTCGATTTGGAACGGTCGGATCGTGCTAGTAATGGGACCGTTGCAGGCCAGATTAATAATATTTGGCGACCGTCATGGGAGGCGGAGGCCAGAGCACCACACCCCGAGTCTTCCGAGTCGTCCATTGCAAATCGCGAAGAGGACATCTCCTCGGGGGATGAGACCGCTGTTTCTCGTTCTCGGGATCCTGTTACAGTTACTCATGGCATGCAGATAGCTTCAATCCACATTGTCAGTCTGCTTTAATTAGAGTTTCCAGCGCAAAAAGTTCCAGTGAAAGCGGGGACGGGCTCCGGGCTTCAAGAACCTGTCAGGTATCTTGCTGGCCGACTTAAAAAATTGCGAGCGCTCAAGGGCGCGGGGAAGAGAATCTTCCGAAAACAATGAGGAAAAAGAAAAGAACCCCCGGAGTGAGATGACGGAAAGGCAAGGCAAATGAAGGGTTAAAGGGGATGACTGAGCTAAAGTTGAATGCGAGGAAGTCCAGAAGGGTCGAAATTCAGCAGTGGGGCGGGAAAGGACGGAGCTCGGCACAAGCGCAGATGACTAACGCTCTAGTAAAAAAGAAAAAAGTGATAGTGCTCGTGGTTCTTTTCGGCTTGAAATGGAGGCTTGGGACTTCTAGTTTATCGTGCGCTAGTTCTGAGCAACATGTTACCTAAAAGGTATTCAACATGATTCGATTCCGCTCCAGAATGGGCAGTTACTCAGGTACTTGCCGCGGGCTGGGGCGACGTCAGACCATCTCTCCACACACTCGAATGTGGGTTCTGGCCGTTTTGAGCAGAAAGGTCTCCATGACGTCACATCTTTGACCTTGGAGATTAGCGATCGCGATCACAACGGAAACAATTGAACAATGCCGCACGTGCTCACGCTAATTAATTACTATCGGAATTATACACGGGGAGGAAGTAAAACAGGTTGGAGTGTGATTACAATTTTCGAGGTCCTCAACATTCTCCTCGAAGCGTCTCTGCTTTGGGAGTGGTGATTCGATCCACCGCCGCTGACCGCCGTATTCCACCGTTTCTTCAGTTGTCAATTCATTGCCTTCTCACACTCACCTTTTACCTTTTTTTTTTTCCGACCCGAGGAGCAATTGAATTCAAACGGACCTTTGGAAATGACAGTGATCGGCGACGCCAAAAGCTGTCACTGCTATATCCGCAAGTGCAATGCCCCTTGATCCACGGCACTAGCCCCGGCTGGGCTTGGCTCGAATCGGGGACTCGGGGTCGCTCCTAACGGCCAAACACAAGCCCGGCATAGCCGCTGCTCGGTGCCGTTCCCCTTCTCCCCCATCCACATGGTAGACCAGCATTGCCCCCCCCATCAACCCATCTAGCACATCATATCGCCCCTCTATCATCCGTTCCCGAGGCGTCTTTGATCCATCGGATGGCCCGGGCTTGCTCGCAGCCATTCCAGCTATGGACCCCGATCTCCCTTGGCCAATCTTGGCTTAATCGTTTTCGCCGTTGCTATTTTCTTTTTCTTTTTTTCCTTTTGTTCTCGTAGATTCTGACTTCGCCGGGAGCACACCTGGTCGGCTCTAGCCCTCCCCTCCTCGTATGACGGCCCAGGTCCATCGTCAGCTCATTCGCTCGTTTCCCCGCCTCCGGAGAGCCGATGGGGAATCCCGGGCTCTTCGGCCGTCTGCCGTCCACGTTACGCTTTACTTGCCTTGTGCTTCTGTAAGCTCGGGCCTTCTAAACCTCGACGTTTATATCTAACCCCTTCTTCGCATCTTCCCGCCTCTTAACTAATTAATCCGTCTCCCTTATTTTTTGGACATTCACGCCACATCAACTGGACCCGTCTCCATCATCTCATCACACTCATCACACTCATCACACTCATCACACTCATCACCACGACCACCACGACCACCACCACGACCACCACCGCAACCACAACCACCACCACAACCACAACCACAACCTAGACGTTTTGGCAACTGACGAGAACATGGACACAGTTGTCGCTGCTCCGAATCGCCTCAGCCGCGGTCACTTCTCCCAGCCCAGTCTCACAATAGTAAGTGAAGCGATTGTTCTACTCCTACCATCACAACACCCCTATAGCCCTCCCTGAATCTCCTCTTCCGCGTCTCCCAGCAACGATGTCTTGGACCTCGGTTAGGACGAACCCCTCTTTCTCTCCTCCTGCGGTGGTATCACAAGTGTCACAGCCTCCAGTCTCACGAAAGGCAAGGAATTCAATCCAAACTGCTAACACGATATCCAATAGAATTCGTCAGAGATCTCACCCCTTCCTTACTACGACGCTCAAGCCGATTTTAGCGCGGATTCCGCGCCATCAAGAGGCTCACCTCTCTCCCCCATCTTCAATGATCCGTTCCAATTACCCGTCGAGTCCGAGTGGGCGAATTATCTCGAGAAGCCCTCCATCTCTCCCGGACTAGACATCTTTTACGGCGAATCGTTCGGCGGCCCCATGGCTTTCATGAACCATCAGAACGGCGGCGTCAGCCCGTCTGCCAATCCTGTCGACCTCATGTCCGAGAGCCCTAGCTTCGTCCGCGACGACGTCAACGACAACCAGCCTATCTTCCAACAGAACCTCCCAACCACCGCGCCTGCTCGGCCAACCTTCACGTCGAATCGCAACAACAGCATCCAATCCACTCTGAGTTCCGAATCGCAAGCCTCCAGCCAGCCCATCTCCCGCCGGCAACCGACCCGCTCGGCCCAGCTGAAGCGCAAGTCGTCCAGCTCCGACTCCGTATCCTCACGCTCGGCCTCGCCGGAGCCCCGCGCGCAACGCACCAAGTACTCCGACCCCAGCAAGAACCCGCACAACCTCATAGAGAAGCGCTACCGCGTGAACATCAACGAGAAGATCATCGCCCTGCGCGATGCCGTCCCGTCCCTCCGCTGCGTCGTGCAACAGAGCGGGAACCCGGATCAGGAGGATGGGCCGACGCTCGACGAGGTGAAGGAGGGGCTCGGCGGCCTGATGCCCGCCCGCAAGCTCAACAAGGCCACCATCCTCAGCAAGGCCACCGAGTACATTGGTCACCTGGAAAAGGTGAACCGGAAGATGGCCGACCAGATCGAGGACTTGGAGAAGAGGCTTGCCGCAGCAGAACAGTGGTAGGCGCCGCCGTCGGAAGTACCGGCATACTGGCCATGACATTGAAAATTACGGATGGATGAAAAGTTCGCTGATGATACCCGGGACGTTTTGGCGAGACGGCTTTCCCATGTTGGTGGGGCAAAAAGAATAAAGGAATAAATGTGGGAGACGGGTCCCCAACGGAAACACAGTCGTTCTTTCTTCTTCTTCTTCCTCTTGGAAGTGATTCGTTCACCTTCATGTGTTTTATCAGATGGGAGAATGTACAATAATACGGATAGGAGCCGAGGGGGTTGCAGGCGTTGTTGGAACGGGCTAGCAGTCTCTCGGGACGAAGGACGAAGGACGAAGGACAGGGGGGAGAGGGGATTACGATTGAAACGATGGTATCGTACAACTGCCACTCCACTACCAGCTTTACCTCCTACATGCGAGACATTAATCGTAATGGTATTGGTTTTACTTCAACATGATCTCCCATACGAGCCACTCCGTCGCCCTTTATGGATTGTCCCGGATATCAAACAAGTCATAGGGTAGATACCTTACTAAGATTAAACTATAAGGTAAATAGCAGACATGATGTGTAAGTCAATGGGACACAGATAGAAGCAGGAGTTCACTGGCTTTGTCGTGTACAAAGACGGCGAGGCGTGTAGATGCCGTAGTGATACCGTAGTAGACATCGTGGCAGACATGTGCTGGTAAAGCAAAACGGCCACTTTCGCTTCCCACAAAGAAACCGTGCCTTCGAAGATTGATACAACCGTCGACCCTTTCACATTCTATTTTCGAATTTCTACAAAGGGCGGCAATTTCGCCTTGGGTCGTCCCGTCATGTTGGGAACAGCGGATATCAAACTTACCTGACCCACCACCTGGGGGGCGTCTGGCTTGAGCCAAAGTCACACGAGGCGACAGCTTCGTGGCAATGGACGATGAGTTCCGCTAGGCCAGTGGGAAAGCATCAATTGAAAATTAGCAATCTAGTCCTATGGTCGACCCTGGTACGTCCGGCCTTCGTCCGCGGAGTGTATTGGCAAGGTAGGTATTTGTTGAGCTCTCAGGGGCAGAGCGAGACAACTTGATGGAACCCTTGAGACAACGTAGCCGTTATACGGTGGTGTTGGTGGGAAGAAAGGGTTGTTGGAATGACGCCAAAAGCATGGAGGTCGAGCTGAAGACGAGGTTGAGGACGAGGGCGAGGGATGAGAGTTGAATGAGATGGTTTAGGGACGGAGAGGATGCTTTGTTGTTAACGTGTTATACGGTGAGGATTAACAGAATTTCTTGACCATCAATCGCTTTGATGGAGTGCAGGTAGAAACTGGACCAGGTGAGGTCGGTCGTGTGTGAGATATCTTCGTTTTCGTAGTTGTTCGTGTAGGGACACAGGCCAAAACCAAAAAAAAAAAAAAGGGGGGGGGGGGGAGGGGGGAAGAGTGAGTGAGTTGGAGCTTCGGGAATGGAGATTGCATGAAATAATTGCATGTATCTACACACGAAGTATCGATGACTACCAGAACTACGCAAGTATAAGTGCGATACCTATTATGCCAGCAGAAGCATGTATATGGTCGCGGTTAACACCTAGAGAGAGTACCTTTGAGGTTTATAGTGTACTCTTGGGAATACCTCCTATGTGGGATTTGACGAAATAAAGTACCTACACCGTAGGTATTGGGCAAGCAGCTTTTACCTCCTAAGGTACCTTAGGGGTAAAGGTATCACGCTTGAACATCACCGGATCTGATTCGAATGCTTCGGTTTACGTGTACTACTCCGTACATCGAAGAACTCAAAACTCTATCATTCTTAGATACCTGTTAACTTCTAAGAATAACCAGATTACCTAGAAGACCACGGTAGTAATATATAGGTTCACTTATTACTGGTTTTGGACTCGACTACTAGCAGATTATTCTCGTCGTCAACTGTTGTTGTTCAGAAACTACTTCGTACAAAGTACACGGAATACCTCGTACTCAGCCTTGCCCACCCCCATTCGTGACGAATCTCAATAATCTCTCATCGTTGTACAGCCATGTAAGGAATACCCAAAGATACATTGCCTACATAATCGCCAAGGTACACAGTACCATTATCTCTCCGGAGTAGGAGCATTGCCGAGAAGAAGTTGGTCCCGGCCAAACCCTCCCCTCCCCTCGACAATTATTACATCATATCCCTCTCTTCCCGTAAGCTCTCCGAGAGACAGCTTCCCTGACTTGGGTCTTTTCGCTTCCGCACTGCCCTTTCTCGTGGGTTCGTAGAACGGCCCCGAGTCCTGAGGGATGTACAGGAGAACTAATGTCTAAAGTACCTTCCCGCCTACCTTCTGTGTAGATACATAAGGTAGGTAGCTAGGTCCCCCTCACCAGGCTCACAAGGCCACTTTCATAAACCCAACCTGCATCCTGAGGTTATATCCTTTTCTTCTTTGTTTTTCTTCTTCCATCGCGACTTGCTCTCTTCCACGCCGTCACACTCTCGACTTCTCCTCTCACCCATTTCGACAGCAAATCCTGCTAGTACCACCATCCCGTCCCACTGCCAGACTGGGCGAGCAACCCGCCTTCCCTAAGCCGCACACCCGCTAGCCTAGACACCTTGCCCCATCGACCGGTTTCCATTGATACCAGGTGGTCGAATCAGGACACCTCCTACTAAGCGTCCGGCCTCGCCAAAATCTTGTCTTCCATCGTCGCGAAATTCCCGAAATTTGGCTCCTATTCGCAATCCCCCGCGCAGAGTTGTGTGTCTCGTCTGTCCGGTATACAAACCTCCCGGGAAACCGGCTCGATTCGATTCGGCGGACATAAAGAACACCCAACGGATCCCTCGAGAACAGAGAAGAACATTGCCGCAGCCCAGAGAACTACGGACCAATTTCGACAGGATAACCGCCTGGGAGGACCCCCAAGATTATTGCGCAACGACCTTGCTTCCGACAGACTACCTTTTAGCGACGTTGCGCCACGAATAGAGAACCAGCGCGCCATTGCCCTGTCGACTTCCTCTCCGTACACCTCATCATATCCTCGACGAATTCGCATCGCAAACCGCCCTGCTCCCCCCCCGCCTCCATCTTTCCCGATATTTGCCTCAGAACCCAGCGACTTTCGTTCATCGGCCGTCAGCTGTTGCCCCTCATTTCCTGCCCCATAACTGCGCCGCCGACAGCTCTGCAAAGACCCAACGCCAAGACATCGAATTTTCGCGCAATCGACGTTCCCCCCTGCAACGCTCTTAATATTGACCTTGATAGGTGTGGGCGCCTTCGTTGCGATCGCGGCCGTCTAAGGGTCGATTTGGATACGAACGCGGCGGGATTGAAAACGAATACACCGACATTGACGGGGTGAAGATAGCGGATTTCCTTCACAATGGCCGGTGACCAGGAACAACCTGCTGAATCTGGTACTCAGAAGCCGCCTGCAGCTGTCGCCCAGGAAGAACCTGTCGCCACCGCGGCGAGTTCAACGAACGGCAGCTCGGTTCCTAAGAAGAAGAAGAAGGAGATTCTCAAACCCATTATTACCACAGAGAACGCGCAGTAAGTGTACTTTACTTTCCTTATTCGCTTTTTCTTCTTCTTCTTTTTTCTCTTCGCCTTCTTTTACATTTTCGTTCTCTTCTCCTCGAATCGGGATCCCGTCCGTCCCCTTCCCTGCCCGTCGATGCGCCGCTGCGTTGTCTACGCCCTGGTAAAAAAAGGAAGAACAAGAAAGGAACAGCCCCTCTTCTCGCCCCTGCTCTCCCCTTCGCGCCATTTTCCATTGACGGGTGGGGGCAGTTGATGCACATCCCCCAAGGCAATTCAGCGCTCGGTTCAGAGTGTGTACTGAGCACAGTACCGGGGTGTGAGCTCACCGGGAGACGACCCCTACGGTGTACGGCCGGTTTTTGCCCAGGCCGGGGAGTTGCACGGTGTACGAAGTACAGAGCGACACAAGTGGCTGTTCCCAGTCTTCTGCTGTCAAGCGACATGCAACATGAGATGGGAAACACTTGAAAGCGGAAAGGGCCAAGTGGAGATGCAATACTTCATTTTCCTTTTTTTTTTTGCCCATCACTACCTTAGTCCCAAGTCAGCAGCTGCACTGCACGTTCCTGTCCTGTCCAACCCGGTCGCGTCTTGTAGGACCTCCCCCGTCTGCAGCGTCTGCACTCCAGCGTACTTGGGCTCCAGTACGAGCCAGTCCGAACCGCCGGCCTTCGACCGTCTCCCCTCCTTGGCTCCTTTTCCACCGCCACCCACCCCCGCCACACAAAACGTACACGCACACAGCACAGCACAGCACAGACCAGACCTCAGACAAACCCATTTCCCCCTCCACTCTTACCTAGAAGACACTGTCGATTGCCCTCCACCTTCAGTCCCCGCCCACTTCTTTGGGCACCGCTTTTGCTGTGTGTTCCTCAACCTCATTCCCCTTCACCGACACCGGTTTTCCTCGCATTGGATTCAGCTCTGTGGCATTCTCGACACCTCTTTTCATTTTTTCCCCCTCCCCATCTCCCCAATACTCCTTTTCATCCGCTTTCCTCGACCAGCTTGCGCTCGGCGCGCAATGTGTAGCAAAGATGAGCTTTCTCAAGTCAAGGTTCTGCCGCCCGAAATGCCGTTCTTATAGCGTCTGGACTGGAAATGTCTTCTCCAGCGACCGCTCAGTCTTAGTCGCGTTGCCGTCCACCCCTTCGACCGCCCAACATTCGCTTTCCCTGCCCACTGCCCACTGCCCACTGCCCACTGCCCACTGCCTGCAGTCTGCTTTTCTTAGGCGCTTAGCGCGTCCATCGCCTCACCTCTGTCGTCCTCTTCCGGATACAAAGCTGACCAGTCTGTCGTCTTTCCAGAGCCCACCAATTGTCTGCCATGGCATCACCTTCATCCCAGTCGTCGGGAGATGATGCCAACGAGAACACGGCGGATGAGGAGGATTCAGAAGATTATTGCAAGGGTGGTTATCACCCGGTGCAGATTGGCGAGAAGTTCAAAGATGGGAAATACACTGTCGTGCGTAAGCTCGGATGGGGGCATTTCTCGACTGTCTGGCTGTCACGAGACAATACGACCGACAAACACGTCGCTCTCAAGGTCGTCCGTTCGGCCGCCCACTACACCGAAACCGCCATCGACGAGATTAAGCTGCTCAATAGGATCGTCCAAGCCAACCCTAACCACCCGGGCCGCAAGCACGTCGTCAGTCTACTCGACTCGTTCGAGCACAAAGGTCCCAACGGAACACACGTCTGCATGGTCTTCGAAGTACTCGGCGAGAACCTCCTCGGTCTCATCAAGAAGTGGAACCACAGGGGTATTCCCATGCCCCTCGTTAAGCAGATCACGAAGCAGGTCCTCCTCGGCCTGGACTACCTTCACCGGGAATGTGGGATAATCCACACTGACTTGAAGCCCGAGAATGTTCTCATCGAGATCGGCGACGTCGAGCAGATTGTCAAAAAGGTAGTTAAGAACGAGCCTAACGAAAAGGAGAACAATCGCAACGGTCGCCGCAGGAGAAGAACCCTCATCACCGGCAGCCAGCCCCTGCCGTCTCCGCTGAACGCTTCGTTCAATCACAACAACATCTTCCCGCCTTCCAGCTCGCACAACAGCCTAGGGCAAATGCTGCATGGAGGTACGTGCAACAGGACTCTTCGGCCCGACGCTTAGTTGATCCTTACTTGCGTCGAACGTATTCAACTCTCCCAATGACCTGACTGACTGTTTACCCGCTGTAGGCAAGTCACCGAAGGGCGAGGCCTCCCCCAAGAGGGACAAGAGCAACGAGCAGAAGCAGAGGGAAAAGACAGCGTAAGTCCCCCTCATTCCGCACCTTGTCTTAGCATGATTTCCCGGTTTCCCCCGACGTGTCGTGCTAATGCGAATCCCCCGGTGCTACAGTGACATAATCGCCAAAGAAGTATCGGGTATCTCCCTCGACAAGTCCAGCAATACCCCGGCCTCTTCTAACGAGAAGCGCAAGGCAGACGAGCTTTATGCCTCTGATGTCATCAGCGTAAAAATCGCTGATTTGGGTAACGCCTGCTGGGTGAACCATCATTTCACAAACGACATTCAGACTCGGCAATACCGCTCCCCCGAAGTCATCCTCGGGGCGAAATGGGGTGCCAGTACCGATGTGTGGAGTATGGCCGCGATGGTGAGCACAACCCTATATACCGCGTTGCCTGGTTGGATTCACATCCCCCTGATGAAAGAGGGAACTTGATCAAATTCGTCGACTGACTCGTCTGTCAAACAAGGTCTTCGAGCTCATTACTGGTGATTACCTCTTCGACCCACAGTCCGGCACGAAGTACGGCAAAGACGACGACCACATCGCCCAGATCATCGAGCTTCTCGGCCCCTTTCCGAAGTCACTGTGCCTCTCCGGGAAGTGGTCTCAGGAAATCTTCAATCGGAAGGGCGACTTGCGTAATATACACCGGCTGCGTCATTGGGCCTTGCCTGACGTCCTCAGAGAAAAGTACCACTTCAAGGATGCGGAAGGGCGGCAGATTGCGGATTTCTTAACGCCCATGCTGGAGCTCGTCCCTGACAGGCGAGCGAATGCTGGCGGAATGGCCGGTCACGACTGGCTTCGCGATACCCCAGGGATGAGGGGAGTCAAAATCCCCGGCCTCGAGGTCGCCGGGCGAGGGGAGGGCATCGAAGGCTGGGCAAACGAGGTGAGAAAACGATAAGCTTGGCAGCTCCCTCCCCCCCTCATGGTAGAGTCAAGTACGGATGTGTGCAATCCAAGCGACGGAACGATGGAACGATGGAACATCCAGGATGTCCGCGCCATGTCATCTGCCATTCCTGCTTTTCGTGTCTCAGCGCCTATTCCTACATGTCCTTGTCGGCCTTTGATTCGTCTTGTCCTTTTTGTTTTCGATTTCCGAATAGTACCTCCGCATGCAAAAGAATATCGGTCGTGGCGATGCCGCTCCTCCTGTTGGCAAGAAAGGGAAATGGAGAGCGGGACCGCTCTTGCTCTTCGCCGCGATGGAAATCACTGCATTTTTTATTTGTTTTTATTTTTCCTGCTACGCTCGGCGCAGCATAGCATAGCGTATCACTGCAGAGAATTCGCTCCCCGAACCCCACAAGACCGGCGACACACGAATCCAGGGTCTTTTGGGCGGGTGGGAAAGGACATCGTAACTCGATGAGGAAAGACTTTTTCGTTTTGTTCTTATTGTTCTTGCCGATTCTCAAGAAAGGATAGATAGACATCTTGACACGTCCGTATCTTCATAAGCGCACTGCACATGAAGATGTGGCCGGCCGCTTGGGGGGGATATCGGAAAGCGGAAGCTCGAAGCCTTTACAATGCATTGTCCAACAATGGCTGAAAGAGATATTCTACCTGTTGCATACGTGGCTTGCATAGCCGACGATGCCAGCGAACTTCAAGGTCAGCGGTACAGAGGAGACTCGGGGGTGGTTGGTTGCTGTTGGCCGGGTGGATGCATCAGGGGAATTCTTTTGCATGACTTTTGGTCTACTGAGCTACAACCTGACTGCTAGATATACGTCCGGGTTTCACATGTGCATTAATATGTGAACGTGTCGAATCCCGTTCTTCTTGCAAAAGGCAAAAGGCAGGCCACCGGAATTCCCGTACCTCGAGTCTGGATGATGGCTCCGGGACACGGTGCATGAACTGCACCTCAGCTGGATTATGAACTCATCACCCACCCGTACACACGATCTTCTCCAACGACGACCATGTCACTAATGTTCGGTTGCCCCGTACATTTTATCGCTGGATTATCTCGTTCGCGGTCTTCCTGAAGTGACTGTCTGTGCCTCTGGGCGCGGTTCTCCTTGTCACCGCCGCAGACTCCCTACCGCCGTCCGGAAGGGGTGGATATCCCGAATGGTCTCCCCTTCCTTCCACAGTCTCTGTTCCGCAAACTAAATCGCATGGCCTTCACGTCCAACCTCAATACCTGGCGAGTCTCGTCTCAGGCAAGAAGAAAAAAAAAGAAAAGGAGAAGAAGGCTCCCCAACGCCAACCAGCCGCGAATACCCCTGAACCAAACCCCTCTGCAAAAAGGAAAAAAAGAAAGACGAAGACAATCCCCATCCCACCCCGTCCCGTTCTTGATCTTACTGTGCGGCAGCATTGTCTGTTTCGCGGTCGACGTAAAACCGTTTGGAGCGATTCTAGCGCTTCTTCGCTTTGTACGTCATCCTGCGGAAGGCCTCGGCGCCGGCGGCACCGATGGGGCGGTGGTCCGGGGCGCCGGACGGGTTGAACGTGCTCACGGGCGCGACGGTGTAGCTCATCGGCAAACCGACAGGCCGGGCTCGCTTGCTGTTCACGTTGTTGGAGAGGATGCGCTCGCGCTCCGCCTCGCGGGCAGTGATGGGCCGTTCGGCGAGGGTGTAGGCGCTGCCTTGGCGCTGCGATGCTTGATGGGCTCTGCAAAGAACGTTAGATACGAGTCCCTCATGAAAACGCCTAGCTCTCGTGGGACAAGAGTATAGAGGAAACGGGAGGGGGAAGGTAGAGAGGCAAAGGTTGGAAACAACGGGTGAGAGAGGGTGGTTCGTACTCATAATCGAATTCGCGCGTCTCGATTCGGCGCTTCCTGTAGTCGTCGGTGCGATTAAGGAGCGGGCGGCTCCACTGGCCCAGTAGGCGCTCAGCCATGCGCTTGATGCCAATCTCGGGCCGCTTGGACCGAGTGTAGAATAGAATGACTTTGCCGATACCGGAACTCAAGAGAGTCTCCTTCTCGATAGGAAGCGTGAGGAGGGCGGTGAGCAGGTCACGCTGGACATTGTAGGCAGGCATGGTGCCGTCATTTAGTGGTTCGAGGAAGAATTTTACGTTCTGCAAGACGTTGTTCTCGGGGTCCAAGACGGCGTGCTGGACAGACGTGCGGTTCAGAAGGGCGACTACCTCGGGCAGTAGCTTCAACTTGTGGGTTGCAGGGCGACCCGCTTCGTGGGCGGCGGCATCGTCCTGGCAGGCAGTCTCCATGCGAACTTTAAGGTCCGCGATGTAGTCGTCAATCTCGTCTTCCAGGTCCTGCAGCAAGGTGGTGGTGAAGTCAGCAAGACCGAACATGGATTTCAGTGCATCTCTGCGGCCCCGCCAACTGGGCTTGAGCTTAGAAGTCGTCTTACCTCCTCGTTCTTCCTCTTTCTCCGTTTTACAGGCTTCTTGAACGCAGCGTCCAGCGCCCGTTCCAACGCCCGTCGTCTACGCTCCTCGGGAGTGAGGTTTTCTTCGATTTCAGGTTCGGGAGATTTCTTTTGAGGCCGAGCACGTGGCTCCCCGGAGCGCCGGGGCCTCCGCGTCGACGCCGCCTCTTCGAAGTCACCGTCTTCGCCCGTAACTTCCTCCTCCTCGCGCTGCCGCTTCTTCTCGCGCCGACCTTCCTTGGGTTTCTTGACAGTTTCGCCTTCGGGGCGCTTGCGCTTGGACGCCTTGAGTGTCTTGGCTATATCTTCGTCGACAGCCACCGGTCTGTCTTCAATGTCGGCAGTCTCCGGATCGTAGTCTTCGAACTGGTTCTCGTCGATTTCCGAGAGGACGTCGGATTCTTGGTCCGAAAGGTCCTCTGCTGGTGCGGCGAAATTATCATCGTCTTGCTGGAGCTCTTCTATTTCGGGAGCATCTTGCTCTGCCGGCGTCGGCGATCCGACAGGAGAGTTATGGTCAGACATGATGAACGCAGTACGCAATCTCTGATTTGTGAGGTGCTTCGTTGGTAGGAGCTCGTCGGAGAAACTGATGGACAGTTCCTTGAGTTGAGAAGTCGATAGAGGGAAGAAAACACAGAAAAAGTCGAGGGTGATGGATGAAAGGAAAGACAGCCTGTCACCCACAAGTGATCCTGAAGGTTCCAAAGGCGAAGATAAAGGAAAAGGTACAGGCAAAGGCAAATGTGGTTTGGGAAGAGGTTTGGAAAGCAAGGAGCTAGGATAATCCCCTGGCGTTGAATGCAAGAAGATCATGACTAATCATGAAGGAACTTTGCTGTCATCTCGCCAAGAGCCACCCATGGTCTCGTCTCCGGAGAAACTACGGAGACTATGTACCTAAGTAGCTGGCTGGCTGATATCGTCTTCCATCCTCACCACCTTAGAAAGGATAATAGAACGAATTTTTGCACGTAGCAGAATTCCTTATGTTAATACAAAGTCGCCGTTATTACGTCTTTGAAATAATATAGAGACATATCTCACGTGTGCGTGACTTTAGCTTGCTTAATGCGAAAATCGAATGGTCGTGGCTAGGAATAGGCACCTTGTCCGACCAGTGTAGCGACCGTCAGCAGCTGATCGCAGCGGGACAATTGTCCCTTGTAGTAGAACAACAACAAAATATAACGCGGCAGACAATATACAACGGTTGCAGGCGTAAAGGCCCCGTTCAACAACGCTCACAAGCTGGCGGAAAACTCCTAAGGATATTATGAAAGATATAGAGTGCATATATTCGGACTATGGCAACCTCATAATCGGACTATGGTTCAATTATCAACAGCCCGTAACAGCCCCCGCCAGCTGCCAACCCTTTTTTTGTTTATAAATCCTTTTTCCTTTGTCTGACCATAACATACAATAACTACGATAATAGCTCTACAGCTAATTCGGCGTTTTCCACGCTTTTTACGTTCAATTGATTTTACAACGATCATCAATTACGCTTATGCCCGTAGATACGGAGGTCTAACCTAGTTACTGCCGCAGCCTCTTAATCGCCTCATCTATGCCAGACTACAATCCTGTAGTATTAGAACCGTCGCCGCCCGTATTTAGCAGAGAATTGATTCCTTCAATACCCCCTCTATGTCCTCTTCCGATACCACCTCTATAACCGCGCGGGCGACCACGCCCACCACGATAGACCCCTCCTTGTTATTATTATTGTCTATATTGGCGTTATCGTGATAGTTGCTTGGTGGTTAGGTTGATGGAGGCAGGCAGTTAGTATTGTATGGTCGGAAAAAGGAAAAAGGAAAATAAAAATTGAAAAACAAAAAAAGTTGGCAGCTGGCGGGGGCTGTACGGGCTGTTGACAATTGAACCACAGTCCAATTAAGAGGTTGCCATAGTCCGAATATATGCACTTAAGATATAAACATAGCTAAGACGCTATTTTAACGCTAGTCCGTGCCCTCGAAATATATTTTTATATAACAGGTGCAATATCCCTTTGGAGAATATTAATCCGATTCCGTTAATACGGGGTAAAGACTTCTAGATAAAAAAATACAATCTTTTTACTATTCTAGAATATTCTATTAACTGCCCTCTATATGAACTATTAAGTCTAGGTTATATTAGTATAAAATAGATTATAGGACTCTAGATAATATATCCAATCCGAATAGTATCGGCACCTAGTCTACGTCCACAGATTTCACGCCGTCTATATAGGATACTGTATGCCTAAAATAATAACGATATCTTTATTATTATAGTTACGAATAGCTTTACGTTAGCCTCGCCGTCGCCTATAGCCTATAGCGTATAACGCGGCTAATAGTAGACCCTATCTTAGTATGATTTCCTCTGCTTATTACCACCTTTTAGGTGCTACTAGGGTTTTATATGTAAAACGCCGCTATCTTAGTGGAAACGCTACTAAAAACGCTAAGAGGCACCCCTGCCTAGCGCAGTACCTAGTAGATAGAGGGAAGCATGAAAAGTACAGTTATACTAAAAATACTATATAAAAGAGGTGCTTATATTATTCGCTTAGTATTTTTAAATATTCCTATAACTCCTTAGTAGCTTTCTGCTAGCTTATAAGCCTTATCGAACAGGGCCTAAATATTAGATAACTCTTTATAGCATCTACCTAAAAGTGGAGGAGAAGTGGATACGACCCGATCTCTATAAACAGAGTAGGTATATACACTCTAACACCTGTTTAATTTTCAAAGTGTACTTACGGAGCCTGAATAAGCAAATACAATCACGATAATATATATAACTAGGTATGTTATAAGCAGACCTTTTCTATATAAAGTATATAAGCTTAGATATACTAAGCTATATTCTATCCTACTATCTTATAGTTTCCTAATAAATCAAAGTATATATATAATAGCTTAACAGGAAACGCCTTATATATAGTATATATAAAGTAATAACTAAATTCATTTCTATATATAAGAGTTATAGATTAATTCTCGATTAACCTAGAGATATCTTATAATAGTATTAAGAATTATATCGTTAGTGCTACTATTATTATAGGTATATTCCTCGAACCTTCTTAATTTTCCTAAAAGGGTAAACCACGAATATACCGCTTTAATCAATTAAACAGGGGTTATATAGTAAGTCGATACTAAATAAGAGTATAGGTATAGGCACTAGTACCTAGGGGAGTCACGATCCTTTTACCTCTTTTAGTTAGGGAGACGCTTAGAATGTAGTCTCTGATTAGCCCCTTCGAACTTTAGTGGGTCCGGTACCCACCAGGTGCTAGCGGGTCATATCAGCTCATATCAGCTGGCAGGGGTCGCAAAAGTATAGGAAGTGACGTACTCTAGCGCCCGTTTTAGCTCGGTACAATAGATCGTCCGATTCCAACCCATGCTGTACAACGACTGCAGACCACGTGTGTTCGGTACAATAGATCGTCCGATTCCAACCCATGCTGTACAACAACTGCAGACCACGTGTAGATCCATCGTTGACTTGATAGGAGCATCGTGCAGCAGAAGCGTGTGCAGCTGTACGCCTAATTTGCGACGTACTGCTGACCCGACAAGCCGACTACCCCGCGTCAGGACCACGTTACCGGAACGCGTTATAGTATATTGCTTGGACCAGGACCACGTTACGGAAAGGGTAAGAACATGACCATTGTGGGAGGTCTGATCGAATGTCGCACCATAGAGACCCGAGTAACCCTTCTAGTGTAACGCATCCAAAGGCCTGTTATTTTATTAAAGAGGTAGTGTCTTTTTGACTAGCTCGTATTATATAAACACATCGCTTCATCATAGTCTACGATACCTACCAGAGCTTTACGCAAACTTACCTTCACGTTAGACCTCCTACAATACTCGCCGCTTTAGGAAGCCTCTAGACAATCGTGCTAGTCACACTCCACGCCCAGCGCAACAACACCACTACAACCATGACCGTCCCGGCCAAGACCACCCCAACACCCAAGATCCTCTTCCTTGGAGCCACAGGCTACCTCGGCGGTACACTCCTCCATCGCCTCCTTGCATCGGACATCGCGTCAGCCGCGGCCCTCACGGACCCCATCACCGTCCTAGTCCGCGGCGAAGACCGCGCAGCCAAGCTGGCTTCGAAATACGGCCCAGCCATCAAGACGCAGACATTCGACTCCCTCGACGAAACAGACAAGATCCAAGCCATCGCAGCCTCCCACGACATCGTCATCAACGCCGGCACCGGCTTCCACCCCGGGTCCGCCGAAGCCCTGATTCGCGGACTCGGCGAGCGTAAAGCATCCCAGGCGTCTTCCTCTTCGCCGTCTGCCCCCACCTGGATGATCCATACCTCAGGCGTCTCCAATATTGCCGACAGGCCCGTGACGGGTACAAACCTGCCCGACCTTGAATTCTCCGACTCGGACCCCTTGGCGGTGCTCGCCTTCGAGGAAGCCGAGAACAAGCGCGAGTGGTATCCCCAGCGGACCGCAGAGCTGACTGTCCTCCGCCTTAGCGACGAGCTCGGGGTGCCGGCGGTTAGCTTACAGGTGCCGTGCATCTTTGGGGAGGGCCAGGGGCTGTTCCAGGATGGCGGGGTTATGATCCCTATTATGATGGCGTACGTACTGGATCGCGGGTACGGGTTTACGCTGGGTGACGGGACGGCGGATGTTGGTATTGTGCATGTGCAGGATTTGGCGGATTGTTATATCGCTGTGCTGAGGAAGGTGCTGTTTGAAGGGGGAAAAGACGTGCCTACTGGGCGTAAGGGCGGAGGCGTTGTGTACCCTGTACCGGCGATGCGTTTGATTGATGATATTGCGAGGGGATGTCTCGATGTGACGTTTGCGAGGGGTCTTCTGCCTAAGGAGGGCGGGCCGACCGAGAAGGAGTTGAGGAAAATCTCGATCGAGGAGGCGGCTACTACGGTGGTGGGAAGTACGCTCATGGCAGAGGTTGTATGGGGGGCTCATCGGAAAACAACGGGCACTGTTGCAAAGGAGAAGCTTGGGTGGAAGCCAGTGTTTGGGGGTCCCGAGGCGTGGAACAAAGACTTTGAGGATGAGCTGGATCATGCTTTATCGGGGAAGAGGGGGTATACTTTTGATGTTTGCATTGCTAACCGGGGCTGAGTGCTGTGTTAGCTCTCGCCTGTGAACATCTAGAGGTATATAGAAGCGGTCGTTATCGGTTGGATAGAGTGTCGCGGGTTAGAACTTAAGACGGGTTGGTGTGGTGGAGGAAGTGTCAAATTCAATGTTCTCAATCAGTCTCCGCAACCGCCGCCGCCCGTGTCCTGTATAGCACTCAAGTATGACTAGGTAGAGGGCGGTCGCTTACCCATTCCGCACTATGGCTCTTTCCTCGCGACTATAGGCTACCTTATGCTACCTAGGTAATAAAAAGAACGGCTATGCTTTATTCGATATAACCCTCGAGACTTAAAACCGCGGAGCAGATTAGTTACTAAGGTTCTCGGCCCCTACTACTCGGGGTTTGTATCTGCATGTGGACGTAATACAGATTTCGGCCGTGATGCAGAGAGTATAGTAGAAGGAATCCGTGAATGATAGAGCGAATATATTGAGGGTAAATTTTGTTTTACAATGGGATATAGAGAAGTGAATAATGCGTAGCCCAGATTCTATACAAAATGATCTTCATTGGTCAGTTCCCTGTCCGACGCGAAGTTTCTACCCTGGTCCCTTCACGTCACCGGAGGGGACCAGGCTGAAAGTCTAAGGCCTCGAGACCCGTTTACGAAGGCGGATTCAGGGGAATCTTTTGCCCGCCCGTGACAAGCCTCTGGAAGACGAGGTCCGGGTCGTACCGCTCCTGAACCTCCTGCAGCCGCTTGACGTTCCTCTCTCCATACGACGCAATGGCCTGCTGGGTCCCGTCCGAATACGGCAACATGCTGTTTGGGAGAGCAGTCGGTCAGCCCACACTCCCGACTCACGACGATAGGATAGTAATCAAAGTCAAGCAAGCTCCACTCACATATAAGGAAACAAGAGATCCTGGAGCTTGGCCTCTGCCTCCATCGTGCGGATGAACACGCCCCACGCCGGGAAGACTTCGTCGATGTCCTCCACGTTGTTGAACTGGAGGCCCAGGTAGAAGACTGTTCTCGCGCGCACACGTGTCAGCCAAACCACATAGCTGATTCTCTCTTGTTGATGTGTACCTGACGGGATTGGTTGTCAGGATGGAAATATTCAGCTTAAACTAACCTGTCAGGGGCCTCCCTGGCTCGGCCCTGTCGAGGCCGAGAGGGTTGTTTATCCCGGACTTCTCGATAGCCAGCGTTGAGATGGGCATGACGGTTTGCAGGCCAGTTAGACCTTCGATGTGGGAAATGCTCGAGCAGAACTCGACCCATTTGTCGAGGATGTAGCTTAAGTACGACTCGTTTGGGTACACGGTGAAGGTGAAGTGCGTTTGCCTGGAAATGGGACGCGATATCATATCAGCAGATTCAAGACAGACAGAGATCAAGGCCAACTTACACGAGACCGTCCGGGAACCCTGCGACCAACTCCTCAGCCAGATCCACATACGAGTTGCTCTTGATAGTTGAGTTATCGTGCTCCACGTCAAGCCACGGCTGCAGCGACTCCGGCAGCGCGTCTACGGCCTGGTTGTACACAATAGGCGAAAACCCATACGTGGTATTCGTAGCCCCATCGTACACATACGATGGCAGCACGTGTGTGTCGATGTCCCTCTCGGCCGTCTCAACCTGATACTGATACGTGAGTCTCTTCAGCTGCGGCAGGACGCTCGGCGGATACGTCACCCGTCCGCCATACATGCCCCTATGCGGGACAGTTTGCAGAGTCAAGTGCGTAACGACGCCGAAGTTATTCGACGTGCCCTTAAGCGCCCAATACAGCTCCGGGTGGTGCTCCGCATCGGTGTCCACAACAGTGCCGTTACCGAGCACCACGCGGTGGCCCGCGACGTTGTCGATGGCGAGGCCGTGGCTGTTGGCAAAGAAGGAGAAGCCTGCTCCGAGGGCGAGGCCGGTGCCCACGGTAGCGAAGCGCCCGCCGACGACCATATAGCCGAGGGGCTCGATAGCGGGGTAAACCTCTGACCAGGTAAGGCCCATGCCGATAGTGACGGTGCTATTATCGGGAGACATAGTGATGTCGCGGATGCGCTTCATGCTGACGAGGATGCCGTTGTCGATGTTGGCGGCGCCGCGGATGGCGCTGTGCCCTCCTCCGCGGATCGCGAAAGGGCATCCCTCTTCAGAGAAGATGGAGACGGCTATAGAGACTTCATCGGTGGAGCTGGGGAGGAAGACGCAGGTCGGGTCAAGCCATTCGGTGGCGGCTGTGGTGTGAGGAAATGGGTATGGTCAGAGACGGGTTTTCAAGTTTCATCAAGCTACAGCTCAACGGAGGAGCTCCGGAGTAGGGAACGTGCGGACTCAGAGATCATCTCTCGAAGGAAAGGCCAACTTACACCAGAAGGCAGTCTTTTCTCGGTAGTAGGTCGAGGATTGCGAGTTATCCCGGGCGAAGGTGCTGTCAGGGAAATAAGATGCGAGGGCCGCACACTGCAACAAGTTAGCAGCACGATCTCATGGTAGTCGAGTAAGAGCTCTAGTCTCTCCAGCAGCCAGAGCCCAGAAGTGATACAGAGGTTAAGGGAGGGGCCAGTTGCATTCTTCTTCTGTACCATGGGACTCCAGATCCGGGCCTATCACTTACACATGTCGAGACGGCCACACCTAGATAGGGAGGAGACGTTTCCGGACATACTGCCCACGCAAGGGATGGCAGCGTGGCAACGAGCACGGAAAGCCCACGGAGAGGTGCCATCGCGCTGTGTGATACAGACTTGATAGATCCGGGTGAACACAGCACTGCAAAGTTCAGATGCAGAGTCTAGTGAGCCAAGGCACACTTTCAGAGGTGAGTTGGGATTAGGAGTTGAAACCAAGGGGGCGGACGGTCCATTTCTGCTGCTACGTGCGTGCTTTTATATTATATGCAACAGCTCCCCTACTTGGAGCTTTCAGTTACACTGATGGGTTACAATTCGGGACGATTTGCAGTAAGCACGCGTGCCGCACGTGGATAGGTTACACGGGCCTCGAAGGCGAACGGCCCGAGAAAAGTGACAAGTGGTACAGCAGCAGGTACTATACAACAACCCCTGTTTAATTGTTCAATGGGGTTCATTCGTTAACTACCCTTTTAGGAAGTTGAGGAAGAGTCGAGAAACGTACCTGCATACCTGCACTAACGGCACGTACCATAAAATATTTTAACAATACAACAAGATATCTCTTTATATTAATCTAGAATCGATCTATAGCTATTTTATATAGGAATGGATTTAGCTATTATTTATACACGCTATATAGGAGGTAGTTCCTATTAACTTACTAGATATCGACTTTAACTTACTGGGGAGTTATAAGGTAGTCTAAAAGAGTACTAAGTAGTATATTCAAACCCCTGTATTTTATATAGAAAACCTATACACTTGATATATCTAGTTGTAGTCTCTTCCGATTATTATCGTGATACTATTAGTTTATTTAGGCTCCGTAAGTATACTTTAAACAGTTAAACAGGGGTTAGAGTGTATAACTACATTATTATCTACTGGGACTATATAGTATAAGCCTTACTACTGCTCCCCGTACTTAAAGTATAGGTTAGAAGGTTCTTTAAAGGCCTACTAGTCTTTATATTTTGACAGTTAGAAGATAAATAAAATAATTATAGACTATAGGGTATATTCTAAGGATATATTCTAGAGTCGAAAAATAAAAGAATAATAGTATTAAATAGTATAGAATATATATAGAGTATATACTCCAAAGTAGATAATAGTATATTTAATATTATTATAGAATTATATATTATATATTAAAACTGTATTAATATTCAGAGTACCTTTAATCTAGACTATAAACTGTCTATATTTCTATTTTATATCGTAATATCATTATTCCACTATTCTTTTTATTATAGTATATATACTAAGTATATATATCGTATAAGCCCTCTTTCACGTAAAAGACTTTATTTCTTTAACGCTATAGTATAGTATATTTAAACTATATATACTATTAAGATATACTGTATACAATTAGTACCTGGCTAAAGTCACGCTTTTGCGGAGCCTATGCAGGCCGTCGCGTATGCAGTCAGGTTCCTCTATTCCTGTGCCTGAGCCGTCTCGCAAGTCCGGGACCTGAAAAGTCGGTCATCCCTTTTTACCCCCCGTCGAAGTACTCGGGTCCAGAGTCCGGGCACCACCCGGTCCATCACGATCCCTGCACTAGTTCATAAGAATAGTGGCTTAGTGGCTTTATGGGATTGGAGCTGAAATGGCTTCTTTTTCTAGCCGAATCTGGTTCAGATCTGCCTTGGCGTCACATCCGCCAGTCTGGTTGTCTAATCTCATAGTCGAACTCGCAAGCAATGCACTTCACAATGCTCCCTTCCACGGCCGCCTTGGCTGTCCAGTTTCTGGCATGCGTGCAGCTCTCCCAGGCCGCGTCGAGTGGTAGTGGTAAGCTAACCCTCCGCACTGACCCTGGCGAATCCAGATCCGCATATAGCGAACCTATTGCTAATGGAAACAGAATCGCAAGATGCCCTCCTGCAATCTCAAAATGTCCTGATGGCACAATCTAACGAGACGGAGGGACTGTTGCCCCTTTGCCGGGATGTCGTCTTCCCGGTCAAGGCCGTCAAGTCGATCGAGGGCGAATTCTCCCTAGAAAACTACGACCTCAACGTGCTCTTCGGCTGGGCATCTAGGGAGGTTCTCCGCGACGGCGAGTACGAGATCTCGGCACGCCTATGCGAGCCCGCGTCGGGCATCGAGCGCAAGGAGATGCTGCAGCTCCTGATCCACGGCGCGACCTTTAATAAGGTCATGTGGGATTTTCCCTATAAGCCAGAGACGTACAGCTGGACCCGGTTTATGACGGCCGCGGGCTACACGACTCTGGCAATAGACCTTGTGGGTATGTAGAGCGCGCCTTCTTGTTCCCCTCTGCACGAGCAAAATTTGACTGGGTCCCCTTGACTTCCAGGGAACGGAAACAGCTCCAAGCCCGACGGCCTCTTCGAAGCTCAAACAGGGACCTTCATCCAAACAGTCCACCAGGTAATCGAAACCATTCGCGCCGATGAGACCGCCCTCGGCCGTACTTTCGACAAGATCGCCATCGTCGGCTTCTCCATCGGCGCTATCGTCGCCAACTCCATCGCCGACAGGTACCCTTCTGACGCAGACGCTATTGTCCTCCTCGGTATTACTTGGGACCTCGCATGGATCTATCCTGCCTTCCTTACTGGCATGCAAACCGCAGCAAATCTGGTCGACCCGGAGCGCTGGGGCGACCTCGACGGCTGGTACCAGACGCAGCCGACGCGGGCGACGCGGCGGCTGGCCTGCTTCGCGGGCGACTTTGAAGAGGGCGCCGTGCAAACTGACTTTGAGACGCGTGATATCGACACCTTTGGTACGGCTGTTACCTTTACGTATCATCTTGTTACGGCTCCTCAGTATGTGGGTCCAGTGTTCCTAGGGCTCGGGAAGGACGATTCGACTTTCTGCCCGCGGACTTGTGGGATCGAACCGTACAAGGTCTATACTCAGTTCCCTAAGGCGAAGGAGCATATGGTCAAGGTGTATCCGAACACGGGGCATGCGCTGATGTATCATCGTGTTGCTCCTGTCTTGTTCGCAGACTGCAGGGAATTTTTGGACGCGTTTTGAGGGCTGCGGCCTAGGAAAGTGACTGACTGATAGCCTGGGTTATGCTTTCATCTAGCCCTGCGTGACTCGTGAGGCCTACTGGTTCTCGTCAGCAAGTGCCGAGCCGTACTGCTGCCTTCTGTCTATGGAAACGGATGAGAATTGAGCTTGCGTATAGAGTAGCTATAAATCAGTCATCCTGTTTCTCGTTGCTTTGGGCAAGTTGCAACGCGGTGGCACCCCTTCTTGAGTACTTCCAATGGTGACAGCGCTTTGACGATGCTACTATGCGTCTGTCATTCCTCCTCTTATTTACTTCCATGGATTTTATATAATACGCCTGTATTTGTCAAGTTGACGGCTCTGACGCCCTAGTATGCATTAAAGTCCTATCCTAATATATTCGAAACAAAACCTATATTTAGCTACAGTGGGTGAGCAATAACTTCGGTATATTTCAAAGATCCAGTGATTCGTTACTTTTGCAACATAATATGGTTTTTGCCCTAAGAGAAAAGTGTTACCTAAAAGGTTCGAAGCATTCTACTTTGGGTTATCCCGAACTTTTGCTCACTCACTGTACCTCCTAATTACTAAGATATAGAATCCAGAATAGCTGCCCTCCTAAGCAGCTTAGCTTCTACTATCGCTGCAGAAAAGACAGACGCACGCTCCGTCTTATCAGTGAAAGCCGTCAGAGAAACTCAGATTATCCAGCCGAACTATCAACAGGCCCCCGGTGAAATTGTTTCACCTCACTAGAATGCGCGTCCGCATCGGTCGCCTCTCATCAAACAGTGCCGTGGCATCCGTTGGCAGCGTATCTTTGACGGCACTTACCCGATATCGGACTCCTGCCACGGCTCTTTGAGATGCGCCACTGTCGACCGCATATAAACGCAGGTACGAACCTGAGGTCTCGACGATGCGCACAGCGTGTTGCGCTTAGTTGCCATTATAGTATATTTACTATAATTTATAAGCTATAGCTTCTTAACCGAAACAGCAGCGATAGGAGCGTTTTCTTCTGAGAGTCCCCATCGATTGATTCAAGTTAATTTGAGTAAGGTCTTAGTTCTAAACTCGACTCGGATGATGTCTTTCTGCTCGCCTTGCCTTGCCGGCTGCATCTTTGACTCACTGTCAGATTTTGCATATTCTTAGTTATCACAAAGGCCTTGAACTGAGTGCTCTGAGCTCAGTAGCCCAAATTACCATAGTTGGGAAGAGAGGTCTGGAAGCTCCTTGCTGGGATCCGTGCGGTGGCAGTACGTTGTACGCGGGTCTAGGACTCGGGTCCCACAGGCCTCACATGCCGGTTCCTCCCCTAGATAGTGGGACTAGGACGTATTACTCAGAGCTCGGATTCGGTCTAGACAACGTCGACGTTTCTCGTGGTTACTGGGTAGATCGCCGCAGGAACAACTGTAATTACATGTAAGCTGTTGAAGAACCCCCCACCGCATCCCATCACATCACGTAACATCATATCACCCCACTCTCTGACTCCAGCTGTCACTTTCCGGTCAATCAGCGGCCTGGATGTAGACATCAGCTCTCAGGCCGGCATGGACGTCGGCAAGTCCCGCTAGAAATTGGCTTGAGGAGATTATGGAGACAACGGTGACTGATCTGTGCGAAGGTCGCAGCGCCAGCGCCCACGTGCTGCTGTATAATGGCAGCGGGAGCGGCAAGACTAAGACGGCCGTGGCCTACCCCGGGGTTCGGCGTTTAACTCGACAAGGCCATCGGACTTGGCGATAAGGCAGGGCCTAGGATCGGCAGGAATCTGCCAGCGGGAGCGGCAAGACTAAGACGGGCCGTGGCCTACCCCGGGGTTCGGCGTTTAACTCGACAAGGCCATCGGACTCGGCGACAAGGCAGGGCCTAGAATCGGCAGGAGTCTGCTGACTATTTCTCTTGCATGCAGATTTCCCCTGGCCTAGTGGCTTGACTCTCGGGATGCTTTATGATTGGCTGGGGTTGATCCCTGTTGGTTTGTTTAACGTATCGGTCCGTAAAGAACATAACCCTGACATCGTCGTCGGCGTTACTCGTGAAGTCGGTAAAATCCACCCCGAGGGAGGTCTGTGCGACACAACCGGCAAGATGCCCGAAATCCTACGGATATCCACCTTCCGTGCCTGACCGCGTAATTGTCGCATGGGCACAGGACCACAACGGGACCCCTAGGGGATCCATGCCTGACTAAGGGCTTCGTGTCGCATGGGCACAGGACCACGACGTGGTCTCAGGGAATCCATGCCTGACTAAGGGCTTCGGACTATGGCATGGGCACAGACCATGCCTGGCAGACCATGTCTGACTAAGGCCCCGTTCGCGAAAGCTCATGTCAGATGCCACAGCCACCTTATCGGGGTGTGATAAACCATATTGTGTCAGACGTGTAGAGTACCTCGGTCCTATATATCCACCCTTATTTCCCCTGCTTTTTCCGTATAGTTAGACATCCCTATAAAGTATTATAAACTTCACTTAGATGAATATATATATAATTCCGCGTACCTTATTTATATTCTAACAGTTATAAGCCTGGCGTTCTAATAAACGAAGCTATTCCGATCGATCCTATAGCTTCTAGACTATTAAATCAGCCTTAAGTCTATAGCGGGTAGTTTAGTATTATTAGTAATATCTGCCTACTTTAGTTTTATTTAATTATTTTATTGTTTTTATTATATAACTATTTAAAGCGTTTAGTATAGTTAATTAACCTTTTCGTTTATTCTATTCTACTACTTTTTATTAGTATAACGATAGCTTCCACGGTAATACTACCTATTATAGGCCTCGTAACGCTTACCGCTCCGAAAGACTAAAGGCCTTGGATTAAAGCCGTGATAACTATCGCGCACTCCTACGACCTCGCCGACCTTATTAATCCCGATCTTAAAAAGGCTAAACGGCCTAAGCGCCGTATTCGAACCGATCCAGTAAAACCTCCTACTATAGCCAAAGAATATAACGCCTCTAATTAGGATATACTATTTAAGATTTAGTAGGTGAAAGAGGATCGGTATAAGGCTAAAAAGAGGGGGATTTAAGCACTCCACGACTATATCACGAAGACGGTTAGCCCTGTTTTAAAGGATTAGTACGCCGGTAAAAAGGAAGTTAAGGATATCCTATATACTCTTAAAATATATCTTAAGCTAATAAACGCCGCCCAGAAGTTATTAATTAAGCGATATTAGGAGGAATATATATAAAATATTAGGCGAATACCCTATAAGCGCTAGCTAGAGGACTTTATTAAGCTATACCGGGATACTAAGACGTATAAGGTTAATACCTATAATACTAAGGATAATTAGATTAACGGCTTCTTTAACGCTATTAGGAGCGTTATACCTAAACAGTCTAAGGCTAAATTTATATACCTTATAACGCTTAAGGAAAAGGACCTACCTTCGATATAGTCTATTATAGAGTAGTATACGATATAGCTTTATCGCCGCTACCCGTATCGACTCGATAAGAAGCCTACTGTATTATCCTTTTATACGGTAACCTTCCTAGGTAAGGATAAAGAAGGTAAGGATTAGCGGGCATAATCGGGATAATAGGGTAATTAATAATCCAATAAATAGTAAAAGAAAGAGTGGCTTTACGACTACCGTATTAAAAAGAGGAGTAAATATAACTATAAGCCTTTATAGAAGTGCCTAAACGTTAATAAGGCACGTAGGAAGAAGGGATATACACCTTTAAAAGAGATCTTAGAACGCGTCGACCGTATTATTAAGACCTAGGATAATAAACGTTAAAAGAGATTCCGGGAGAATATCGAGAAGGACGCTAAAAGCCTAAAAACAGGTGCTAAAAAGGACTCTTAGAAGTTATAGCTAAAAGAATCGTCGATAGAGGTATCTAATTTTATCGATAACCAGGATAAGGATTCCGATAAGGAATCCTATAGAATATACTCTCTTCTATAACTAAACGATAATATTAGTAGTAACCTCTTTAACCAGCTATTAATCGATTCCGGCACCTCTAGGTATATTACTAGCTAATAACACTTACTATAAGACTTTAAACCTGCTATAGAAGAGTATCGTTTTTAAACGGGTAGTGGAGAGACTAAGCCAGTTAAGGGTTATAGCAGGATATAATTAGAAGTAGACGACGAATATAGTAATCCCTTTATTTTAGTGCTAAATCGCGTTACTTTTATATAAGACTACCTAATAACCTTAATCGCGACTAGAAGATTAAAGGAATAGAGTATCGTTTTTAATTCCGGCCTCGAAGTGCTAAAAGTTAGAAAGGGCTTATTAGCCCTACCTATAAATAACGTTAACGATTAATACGCTCTTATTCTAACGGATCGTTAATAGCACCTACTAAGCAGCTTCTTTAATAGCTCTATAACGCCTACTATAAGCGTGGTAGACGCTTATTTATAGTATAAGAGGCTAGGGCACGTAGGCATTACTGCCCTCGATGAAATTAGAGATACCCTTGTTAGAGGCGTTATTAAAGGAAAAGGTCCTCTTATAGTAGATTATAAGGCCTATACCCTTAGTAAGGTAAAGAAGGTTATCTTAAGAAGGTCACCTAACCACTAAACGACGAGGCCGTGGTATAGGGTGGAGGTTAACCTCTTTAGCCTTAACAAGGCCTATAACGGTATATAGGTCATAATGCTTTTATACGATCCCTGTACTCGTTAAGCTATTATACGGTTCCTGCGTGACTATAAATCAGCCTTACCCACGTTAGTGAATTTTAAGTTCTTCCTAGCAGCTGCTGTTCAGCAACTCCACGTCCGACCGGTCCTGCACTCCTTGTCGAATGCGTTAAAGTCACCGCAAAAGACGACCACTGGGATGCCGCCAAAGTTCTTGTTGGACTCATAGAGCCTGCAGAGCTGTTCATTGACGGCGTAGAGCGTTCGCGCGCCTAGCATACTAACCTCGTCTACGATAATAGCAGACTTCTAAAATATGAGTTCTAATCGTGATTGTTAAGTCTCGCTCCTGTCGCCATGTTCTCCTGAGGCTAATAGCTGTTGCTGTTTCTGTCGGTGTCCGCCGTGAATGTCATGCCCGAGCGATGTACCTTCGATCATGTCCGCACTTCGCTTGAGCCCAGGGCCGCGTCCATGCCTAAGAACGGTGGTCTCTGGCATTTGCATGGCAGCAAGATTCTTGCGAGCCAACATGGGTTTGACTCCTTCTGGCTGCCCAGAATCATACCAGGCTTTGCTCGACGTGTTTATGCTGATGTCGACAGGGTTTTCCTTGGCGGTTGAACTCTCGACCGACGCGTAGACACTACTGTCGATCCCTTGCCAAGAATCTGGGAAGGACAATAGATGTTGGTTGACGATGGCGCTGTCGTCAGATTGAACGACTTCAAGTGTCGTCCGGCTGCTGCGCTTGGATAAGGCGAGCCTGCACGTGCCCGACCCCACACTTAGTGGTCTTCCGAGCTCTAGCCCTCCGTGAGCCAGATGAACAAGCGCACCTCCCTCCTCTGCTCGAGCCAACTGCATCGACCAGCCGGGACCGGCCGTTTCTGACCCAAGATGACAATCTTCGGCTGCCCGCAGAGCCTCTTGGTAGATGGGGGTTGTCTTCCAAGTGATAGACATCGTGTAAATGATGTCCGTCCCTCTTTACAACGATGGTTCTCCCGCAGGCGGAGAAAAGAAGCGTCTCGACGCTTAAAAGAGGCGGACATGGAGTCGATATGGCACCAGATGGGTTAGCCGTAGTGGGCTTAAAATTCCAGAGTCGTACGATCTGAGGTCCCCCAAAGGTCGTGGTGAGGAATGGAAGAGATGGGTGGAAGCTGCAATGTCTCAACTGGACCATTGTCCCTGGGGAGCCAAACTGCCCGAGCAGAGTGTAACGCTGTCGGAGGTCATCCTTTCTGAGCACTGAGAGGCCGAACATGATTGGGTCATCAGAGGGCACCGTGGTGAGACACTTCAACTCCTGTCGCAGGATATCACGTCCGTCGTCACTGATCTGGTAGCTATGGGTGAACGCCAACCTTGGGTCCGTCCGAGGAGTTGGTGCGGGCAGGTGCCAGGATTGTTGTACTCGAGTGTCGTCCGTCACTGCGGCGCTGCTCTCTGAATCCAAGAAATATGCCCTACCAAGGACAACGAATGTGGCCCCGATGGCCATAGGGAGTGATATCATGGCTAGCGGTTTGGAGCTCAGGCTTGAATCGTTGGGGCTGAAAGGTCCCAGAGGGTAGATGTCGACAACGGCAGTCTTCTGCAAGAACTGGGATTCGAAGTATTTCGAGATATCGCCCCAGATTTCGAAAGGCTTCGCCTCGAGAGTTTTCCCCCAATGCGAGTTGAGTAATTTGAGGTCGGCATGGAGACAGCTCATTGTCGTTGAAGCATCCCGGAACTGTCGTGGCAGGACTTGACTCACGGGCTCGACCGCAGCGCACCAATCCTCAAGTGCGTCGAGATGCCGAATGTCCCTGGCGACCGTGTAATATAATTCGATCCAGGTCATGATACCAAACTTATTGAAGGCGAATTTGGACAGCAGCGTAGCAAGCTCAACGTACGACTCCAAGAAATGGGAGTAACGAGAAGGTGATGTCTGCTTCACCGATATAACGCTCTCGTTGAGATGGATCGGCCACGAGATTGCTGCATAGGCCGCGAATGGTACGCAGTCTTGGATCTTTTTCATGTCCCACTCCGAATCGCATTGTCGCCAGATAAAGGGGCGCTGGGAAGCCTTGTGGAAAGGTAAGTGATGCAGTCCATGGCGATCTGCTTGTGGCATTCGGCTGACCGGGCCAGGAACTGGGCGACGTCTGGATCCTGACACTTGGTATTCTTGGAATCCAGTCCGTTCCAAAAGAAGTCCAATACAGACTGGTGAACAAACCCGTATCCGGGGCTGCGCTTCTCGACAAGGCTTCCGCAGCGGATGAGAATCGCAGAATGGAACCATTCCAATTCCGAGGACGTTGGCGACAGGCAATTCCGCCTGCCCGGTGAGTCTGATGGCCGGTTCCAGTGCAGAGTTACCTCCCAAAGCTCCCTAGCGTCCAAGTGACGATCGGGGTAAGTCAGGTACAGGAATACTCGCTTTGCGATGTCTCGCTCAATCGACGTCTTTCCGGAGATGAGCTTCAGGATGCGGATGTACACATCCACCAACTCTTCGTGCGGCGTAAGTTCCTTGTGTGCTTCTTCCCGGGCGGTAGCGTCCGGGAGCAGTCCCAGATAGTCCACCATCAGCTTTGCCCATGATATCATCCCGCTCGCGCGATCGCCTAGGTGCGAAACGGCCCAGGACATAGAGCAAGACGCCGGGAAGATATCCGGTCCCAGCTGGCCGAGGCGTATTTGCAGAAGGCGCTGCACGTCCCAGTCAACCTTCTTCCGAGTGAGATGGATATGCCGTAGCGAACTCTTCAGCTGGTTTTGGAGAACCCTGATGTTTGGCCGACTAAAGACAATCGCCTTTGCCTTTGTGCGATGAAGAACTGATGCCACCGATGTTGCCAGGCCCTCTGGGTTGTTGCTCTCGTCGAGAGCGTCCAAGATCAAGACCAGTCGTGGGAGCTGATTCGCGACCAATTGGAAGAGGCCGACGAGCTCTGCCTCGAGGGCGTAAGTTTGTCGTGACAGCTTCACAGCAAACGAAAAAGCATTCAAAACATCCGGGTTATCTCGGCATTTGTCCAGGATGCGACAGAGCATGAGGCTCTAGGCCGTTCGCGGGTTTCTCGTCGCCTCGTGCCGATAGAGGAAGAAGTAAGATAGCGGGATTGCTGGCTCTTCATCAGCAGTCATGTCGAGATGTTCCAACGACTTCAGAATCGAAGACGCGAGCATCGTTTTGCCCGTTCCAGGATTCCCCGGTACACTCATGTCAGTCGCCGGGATGGAGCACACCTTGATTCTTGAACATTGGCAACCCTCAGCGTTACTAACCCTTGACCCAGAGAATATTTTCAAAACCGTCCCCATCTGAGGCAACGCTGTGGGCTATCCAGGACATGAATTGCGCACCGTTGAGTATCCATTGCGCTGTGCCCTCTATCCGGTCCCTGTCGCATTTATCAAGGGCGTCGTTGATGTGCTGGTCATCCGGCGGGTTTAACCATCGTTTGATGCGAATCTCGTCCGCTCTCTCTCTGGCCGTCCAAAGTTGGGACAACTCATGATATCTTTTATCCCATTCCACTTGGCGTTGTTCGGCCTTCTTGACCGCCTCAACCTGCTGCTCGTGTGTCCGCAGTAGCAGCTTTGTCTGGATCAAGGCCTGCTCCACAGCGAGGATACCGTAGTGGTATTTGATCTTATCAAGGAAGTGTGCATATTGGGGTTCGAATGGTCGAAAAGTGACGTCCGCAACGACAAAGATGGCTCGTTTCAGCTCTAATCAGGAACATCCTACGCATCAGCCCAATGACCTGGAGTCGTTTACACATAGCTGCACCGCCAGTTAGGACTTCCTGCAGCTACTGCTGAACAACGTGTGGGCGGCATCCCAAAGAGTGCACTCATAGATGGTCTCGCGGCAATCACTGTGGTGGTGACCTTCTTTGGCACATAGGACGCCCTCTTGAGGCAAAGAACCAGGCAACCGTGTTACCTTTAGGCGTCCCTGCCGCTTAACCGTCCACTGCCCGCGACCTAGATATCGTTTCATTCTTTGCCAATCCCCTCAGTACCTGAGCTTCGGCGCGTAGGTTGTTTATCTCGTCGTGCGTCTAACTCAAGTCGATCTTTCCATGGTATGATAGAGTTAAGTCTCGCGACGTCCCGGTTCCACGCGGCAGGTCGGCTTTCGACCAGCCGCTTGACCGTCCCACATCTTGCTCGTTTCTGCATGCGATCCTGATTCGGGCATTCGTCTGGTCGTTCACCACGGCAAGGTCGAAGGTGTCGTCAGCTGGGCTGCTCTTGCTCTGCTCTGGCGTCTTTTCCGCAAGCGCATCAATGGCGCCCGCCGCCGTGCTTGGCGATAGGTTGAGTGACAAGACTGAAGCTTGTGGGCATAATTTCGAATTAACACAAGAAAGCTGTTCAGAGCGTACTTACCTAATCAAACCATCCGCTCTGAATACGGGTAAGTCTGTCTCGTAACCGTGACGCAAGGAACGCGTCATACCTGCAAAACGTTTAGATTTGTTTTCGCTTGTCCTCTCGGCATAATTCCGAATTTGTTGTCATAGGAGATTGGTCTGGAAAACAACACGTGTAGATCACTAGAACGTCCATCTTCATCGAACTCAATCGACATACTGCCTCCTTTGCGTCAATGCCTCCCTCTGCAACTCATATCGATACTGGTTTCACCTTGAGCGCACCTTGAGCGCACCCACCAGCGCCATGGCAGCGCACGTTGACATGCACACCACCAGAGAATCTCTTCGCCTCATTGAGCAATCCGGTGTTGCGAAAGCCCGGCTCTCCTGGCTGGACTTGGTCCTAAAAGCCTTCCTCGCCGGAATCTTTATCTCCCTCGGGGGTGGCTGTACGTACTTCGTAAAACTCACGTGGTAGAAATACCAAAGGTGATGACAAAAACATTGAGTACCTTACCTTATGATGTGCACTACACAGTTACCCTCATCGTCATCGGCGGCGCTCCTGGCTTACGCGCCGACAACCCTGCCCTCGCAAGCCTCGTCGGAGGCCTGGTCTTCCCAATCGGTTTCGTCGTTATCATCCTCACTGGCATGGAGCTATGCACGTTGAATATCTTTGTCATGACTTATGCAACATTGCAGAGGAAAACAATACTGTGTGACCTAGCTATAAACTTGGTCGTCAGTTACGTCTGCAACATTTGTGGATGTTTATTTTACGCGGGGGTGTTGATCTACTGGGCTGATTTGCTCAGAACAAGCGACCAGCAAAGCTATGCTTCAGCACAAGCAGAAGCCAACGTGAACGTTGGTTGGGGCATAAACCTTGCGCGGGGTATAATGTGCAATTGGCTTATTGCCATTGCTTACATTTTCTCTACAGAAGGGAGGGATCTACTGTCCAAGGTGGTAGGTATTTGGATTGCAATGGCGACGTTTGTGAGTATGGGGTTTCAGCATAGCGTTGTGAACTACTTCATGATACCAACAGGCATGTTCTACGGGACAAATTTCGGCGTTGGCAAGTTCATTTGGGCGAGTTGCATACCAGTGACATTGGGAAATATTATTGGAGGAGCATTTTTCGGGGCAGTAATGTTTTGGATGATTTATGGAAAGCACGAGTTGAAGGAGAGGGAGGCGATGAGAGAAGCAGACGAGCAGCATAGCGCTTAGATTGTATTCGAGCTTTGGAGAAATTTTGACGAGTTAGCTTTGGATTACCCGGCGCAAAGTCTCCCTGACACGTAATGTCAAAGGGCCCTCCCAGAACTGCTGGAATTTATGTTATATTCGGATATCTAGCTTAAGGACTCCATAACTTCTCGAAGGGTACTTGAGGCCTGTCGTGCACGGACCACGGCAAAATCACGTGACGTGGGATTTGCGGGAATCAGAAAAGCTGCACCCATGGCAGCGGCACGCGGTTTCCAGAAGGCAGTTTCCCAGAACTACCTGTACACAAAACCCCACACGACAGTCATCAGATCAAGGGAGGTCATTCGCTTAACATGTCCCTTTGCTTTGGCGCTTTCTCGCATTACGACTATTCTTTTCCTTCCTGAAGTGCTGCATATCATCATGGAGCGTAGGACGTACGAGGGCCCTATGGAATGGGAATACCATGATGGCGGACCGTTGGATGCGACGAGCCCGTTTTCACAAGTCGCCAAAAGTCATGCTCCTTCGAATGGTAGGTTGATCTCCATGCAGTCAAAGTCTTTCCTGTTGTCCCTCCCTGTCCATCATACTCGTCATCGACAGTGTGCACCTCGCTGACTCTGGTGCTGAAATAGTGTTTAGTACCCCGAGCAAGTTCGGCTCCAGGCCAAATCCATTCGCCAACACTCCGTCAAGAACACTTCCCCATCCACCACAGACGTCGTCTTTCTCCCCGCGCATCCAGTCAGGCAACACAGCCCCTCCGTTTCGGAACCCGGCGTTTACAACACCGCGCAAGCCCTTTGACGAGAGCGTCTTCTCAGAGGCCGAGAGCAGCCCAGCTTTGACGGAGACGCCGGACCTGGGGAACGATACCCCGGAAGTGGATCGATTGAACGACATGCATTTGGGAACCATCACACCGTCCAGGGTGGACAAGAACCTGCGTTATGGAAAATCTGTTGCCCATCCGAAGCGGTACCAGTCCGGCAAAGGGGAAATTCCACGCGGAAGCCGCGACTATGCGGCGCTCCGGAAACGAAGGCGACACAACAATGACCGGGATGTAGGAAGTTTACGCTACCACTCTTCCCGGGACGACTCCGAGTCGGAATCGGACGGCGAAGACGTCGAAGGTGTGCCCCGGCCGAGTCAGCGTCGTTCCAGGAAGGAAGGTCGAGGCAAGGTGAAGGGATGGTTCGACACCGTCGTGGAGATGATCAACCACAATCCTAACATGCCCGACAACCTGTCCAAGTGGATCGCCCTTCTCGTCAACATGTTCGTCATTGCCGTCTTCGTCTACTTCGGGTGGTCCCTCGTGTCGACGGTGAGGAGCGACATTAACAACGCCAACGAAGCTGCACGGAGGGAAATCATCACCAGGGCTCTTGAATGCAACGACCAGTACATTCTCAACGAGTGCGCGAAGAAAGATCGGCCGGCGCTCAAAGCCATGTGCGATGAGTGGGACGAGTGCCGAATTCAGGATCCAGAATCCATCATGGTGGTCAAAAACACGGCCAAACAGGTGGCCGAGGTGATCAACGAATTTGCTGGCACAATGACAATGCACGCTTGGGTAAGGCGATGGCTTTTCTTTTATTTTTCTCTTTCTTTCCACGCGGTCTAGTACTTGAACCAGTACTTACGGGATTTTTTACAGGCATTCTTCTTTGGCCTGCTTCTGCTGTGCCTCGCCATGAATACTCTCACTGGTGGCGTATCCGCAGGAACGGGCATCAAGCCGACGAATCCCGTTCCGTCAAAATCGGTACCTGAAGCTGGAGCCCCACAGCCTTCTGGCTTCCCCGGAGACGTGTCGCAGGCCTACATGTGGGTGCCACTTCAGACCCCGCGGCGCCTGCAGCAGGTGGATTTCGACGACGACGACGCGACGGACACGGATGGGGCATCACCACAGCAGCGGAAGACCACCCTACCGGCTCCCCAGACCCCGTCGAGGAGACAGAGTCCTAACAAGGGCGATAGGGTGCGGAGTCCTATGAAATTGGGTCCCACGCCCAGGGGATTCTGAAAGCTTTACACAACTACACACCTTCCATTTTGTTTGTATGATGGCGAATGGGTTAGATGGGGCTAAGGGGCGGGAGTGTACACGTACGAGGGATTCAACGGGTCTCAGGCTTGGACATGGGGTTCGTGGGCAGCTATGATTGATCTGCCGCGAGCAGGCGGCGTGGATGGTGCCCCTCCACTTGGGAGCTTCCGAGGAGGTTGAATGGGAATGCTCATCGTCTCTCTGCTGGTCATGGACCCATATGAAAGGGGGTAGCTTCGTACACCCGTTGTACACTAAATACGTCATTAGATCCATGATAACTGGCACGTTCCTGTGCCGATTTCATTTTTCTATTCTGCTTCTTTGCTTTTTCAGACTATTATCAATCATTCAACCTGGGGCTTCAACAAGGTGCACCAAGTTGACAATTCCCAAACAATTGACATTCAATTCCGGATTAAATAATCCTGCAACCATTGGTGATGTCATCCAGCGTTAAATACACGTGATAAAGTCAAATGGATGACCACGGGGTTGTTGCGGAGAATCAGTAATACCTAACCGTACTCTGTTCGGATAAGGTACAGGGTTTAGAATCGCGATCGAGGCCGCGATGAGTGCTGGTCCTCCGCGACCCCCTGTCTGGTCCTCCGGGTCGACTCAAACTACTTTCGGATTGGATAATCCACTATATCTCCCCACCACCCCAAATTAGGTGGGGTTCCTAGTATTCTCGATATACCTCGATATAATCCACGAAACCATTTCCAGCTGCTAAGCAGTTAGTAATAGCAGCCGTTATAGCTATAATAATAATAGAATAGATATTATAGTTACGGTTAGGGTTAGCGATAGCTTTAATTTTAGGTATGGCTGGAGGCGCCTATACTAGTTTCGTAGATTATGTCGAGGTATATAGAGAATACTAGAAATCCTACCTAATTTCGGGTGGTGGAGATATAGTGGATTATCTATCCGAAAGTAGCTTAAGTCGACCCGGAGGACTAGACAGGGGGTCGCGGAGGACCAGCACTCGGCCGCGATCACTTCCTCTTCCGGGAGCAACCAATGAGAGAGAGTTGGTGATTCCTAAGGGGTTCGTCAAGTGCTCTAAAACACTTGGCTCTGCTGATTCCCCACATTTCTTTCGCGTTCTTTTACGTTGTACGGGTCCTCGATGTGACAATGGAATACTTGCGCTTATGTATTGATTTGTACTTGGTGCACGGCAGGGTCCAATTCCTACCTGACCTTCCCTTTACTCCTTCCCTACAGGTACAGAGAAGAACCATTCAATTCTCTACTCGTGAATCCACGATTTTATTCTCTTCCCATCTACCGTCTACCTATCCTCACCTTCCCTGTCCCCTTGTTTTCTCTTCTTCTTCTCAATACACGTGTAGAAGCTAGCACCGAAGAGCGGGGAGCTTGTCTTCTTGAGGCTCCACTCTTCGAAGTCCTGCGATATTTACCTAGGAAATAATTACACAAGCTTCTCGACCAAGTCTCCTCTGTTCGTCCTATCCTTACCAACGTCTTAAATACCGTCCTGACCTAAGCTCTTTTACCAGCTTAGTTGGAGTCTGTGCAAATGCTCCTCGACCGCTAACTGTAGCGGCCCTGACCCCGTTGTCACAGCATGTCCATTCGCCTCTGGGACCTCCGCTAATCGGCGCGGCTTCAAACCATCATCCCAGCCCATTGCTACGCCACCGGCACGGCACGGCACTTCTTGACCAACCCTCGCCCCTCGCCCCTCGCCCCTCATAGCCCGCCCTACCGCTTGCCTAACCTGAAGCGCACGGTATCTTTGAGTATGGAAGAAGCTTCGCGTGGTGTTCGCGACAGCACCGATAACACGACCTCGTCCGCCATTCCCTCCACCGCTCCGTCGGCCCCCCAGTCGCAAACGCACTCGACCCCGACCCCGACCCCCTCAGCCCCTCCAAGCATTGGTCCCTCCGAGACGACATCCACGACGACGTCGACGACGACAAATACCGGCCCTGCTGCCCCAAACCCGGCATCCAAGAGACGAAGGGGTCTGGGTGTTGTGACGCCGAACGCGTGTACCGAGTGCAGAAAGAAGCGAGCAAAGGTATCTTCCAACATGTCGGGACCCCGTCACTCTTAGATTTTTGGGGAGAGCACGGCGTGGATGGCCAAGTTTGATTGACGTCGAGTGCGACCTCAGTGCGATGGCCAGAGGCCGTGCAGTCGTTGTAAGTCGCAGAAAGACCCGCAATGTATATACGAAATACCCGTCCGTCAGTCGAAAGAGGACCTTCGAACCGAGCTCGAGCAGCTGCGCCAGCGTCAACGAACCAGCGACCAGGTTTTCGCTGCCCTCGCGCGGTCCGACGCGTGGGAGGAGATCCTGCGGCGCTTGCGCGGGGGGCAATCCATTGACTCGATATCGGAATGGCTCGGTGGAACCCTACCGTCCGGCGGTGGTGCCGTGCCCTCCTTCGTCGCGGCCGGGTCGGGGACCTCTCCCATGGGAAATCTCTCCCCGTTCCCAACTGCGGCATCTGCGCCGTCTCCCATTGCCATTGCCACCATGAGGCTGGGGGCAACGGCCGTGGCCACCCTCGATCCGATGCAGGCTCAGCAGTCCGGAATTCCGCCCCAGAACATGAACCAGAGTGACGCCTGGCATTTTCCCACCAGCGCCACGCGGGACACATGTCAAGGCGACCCGATGAATTGGACCACCGATCTGAACAGGCCGCCTCAGAACCGGGTCGGGTTCTGGGGCAACGCGATGAACACAGACCAGAGCGATAGCACCTATCGAGGTCTCGACCAGGTGCTGGGGTCATCGAACGTCGCTCAGGCTCGAGCCCCCTCAACCACATGGACCAACATCACGACAGATGCCTTTCTCGTCCAGCACCTGTTAGCCCTGTATTTCTGCTGGGAATACCCCACATTCGCCTCCTTGAGCAAAGAGCATTTCCTGAAGGATTTCCAGGAAGGGAGGCCTCGGTTCTGCTCCTCGATTCTCGTCAACGCCCTTCTTGCGCTGGGCTGCCGCTTTTCAACCAAGTCGAGCACCCGCGCCGACCCCAACGACCCGTACACCTCGGGCGACCACTTCTTCAAGGAGTGCCAACGCCTCTTCTACCTGGAGGAGGATCACCACTCCCTCACCACCATCCAGGCCCTGGGCATCATGTCTATAAGGGAGGCCAGCTGCGGGAGGGATTCCGAAAGCTGGTATTATGCGGGCCAGAGCATCCGCCTGGCCATCGAAATGGGACTCCACCAGCTCCAAATGCACGGAGGGACGGACGAGGACGAGCTTGCGGTCCAGGCCGCGACCTTCTGGGGCGCATTTGCTCTGGACCAGTGAGTCCTGCCGCGACTTGATGATTCTTACTGTAGCCCCCTTTCTTTTTTTTTCTTCTTTTCTTCTCGCGCTGACGACCTCCAGTGCCTGGTCTCTCGCCACCGGGTCCTTACCCCAATCCTCTTGTTTTCCTCATCTGCCTCCGAAGCCTGCCATTATTGGTGATATTGAGGCGTCTTTTTGGATACCGTATACCGACGATGGTACGTGCCGTATTCATATTTTTTTTTATGTTATATGTTTTATTTTTTCCTTCTCCTTCTCCTCCAGAGTCTGCGCGATTTTACACGTGAATTGATCATGCTTACACGGCCCCTTGCCTGTAGGCGCGCCCCTCCAGCGCTCCGCCGAACAACCATCGAATGTGCGTTCCGTGTACATGTGTTTTTGCGAACTCAGCGAACTCGTCCACCAGTCCCTCTATGTCCTTCATTCTCCAGGAAGACCTTTGACGAGTCGTGCTCTCTTGAACATCTACACGCAGTATCTCAACTGGTATGACCAGATACCCGAAGTGCTCAGGCTCGGCCACAACTTTACCCCGGCCGTGCTCTTCACACAGTAGGTGCCCCCCATGCTTTCAAGGCCGCCCACGCTATCTAACGGGATATGGAGGCTGATAATCATAACACCAGCATGTATTATCATTTCGCCATCCTATTAATGTTCCGGCCTCTGATCAAACTGAGAATCATCGGGTCCAAAGTACTGCCACGGGACGTGTGTTTCCAGGCGGCAGACGCAATCCAAGGCTTGCTAAGGTCGCATGCGCAGCTCTATACTCTTCGGCGGACACCGTCATTTGTCCCCTACTTCGTTTTGACGTCCTCTATCATGCATTTGGCGTTAGGCGCATCGGCTAGGTCGCCTCAAAAGGATCCAGGGGACTTGAACTTGATGGGACAGCCACCTGGAGAGACGCAAACAGTCGACCCGCGGGTAGCCAAAGCCATCAAGCAAGGAGTGGAAGATTTAAAGGAAATGTCGCCGTGCCATTATTTCGCGGAGCAGGCTCTTAATATTCTCCGGTACCTCGCGCATGCGTGGAATATCGACGTGGACATGGGAGACGACCCAATGCCCCCCGAGGAGTACACGGATAAGGTCAGGTTCTACACTTCGAGCCTCAACTTCTTCACCCCGAACGTCCGCGAAGAGGATTTTGTGTGCATCTGGGGATCAGACGGGACGAAGGAGTCGGGAGCTAAGAGAGAGGCACAGCAACATGTGGCCGAGACGGCGGCCAAGATGGGGAACCCGCTCTTTTGGCCTTTCCCCATGCACGGGCGGCCTATCCTGCCGAGTGGGAACGAGCTGGCGGCATCCGGGTTCGAGAGGATATGACCGATGTCGGTGGCATTCTCGTACTCGTCTCAAACGGGATGGTTGGGACGGTCGATAAGAGCTAATAGGTGAGATGAGATACAAAGGGGGGAAGACGTAAGCCCGGCAGGTGTGAGAACGCTTCTCGTGGCGTTGTTCCTTTCCGCATGAGGCGACGCTGGCCGTCCTCTCGTTGTCGCGAGGCGTGTGGGCTGGAGCCGGGGGAGTGCCAAAATCAAACTCATGACACCCCCTTCTTCCTCATACCCATTACCATGACTTGCTAGTAACTTTCTCGACAACCGGGATTTGGTCGTGACAAGGCCTCAGCTGCAGGACTTCATTGATCCGGCGATTAACCCCCCCTTACTTCTTGCATCCGAATGTATTGCTGTGGGTTCGGAATCATATACAAAGGACTTGAGGAGAGTATCAAGGTGGTGAAGGCAACGAGGACGAAAAGCCAGTAGAGAGGTTGAGAGATGAACGATATGGTAAAGATGGCTGCACATACGAAGTAGGCATCTCATACGTTTACTCAGTGCCTTGTGTATCGTCCATGGCATTGGGAAGTCAATGTTTCTGCTCTGCAATATGCCACTTTGATGATCCCGGTGATAACGCTTTTATGATTAGCCCCTGAGTTCCAGGCTGGTTCTTCATGTGTACAACTGTACGGATCTGCGTTGCCGGTCTGTTGTAAGATGCCGAGGCACATCTACCTCGGTGGCATGGGACATAAGTGTTACGTATCCGTACTATGTACCCTGTATTCCGGGCTAAGTATTTGTACCTGTTCGGAGTACCTCCACCAGTTTTTTGCCCTCTTCAGGCAGTCACAGCAGAACATGGTACAGCCGTTAAGCTACGCATGTAAGTATCAAATACTTGGGAGACTAGCGCGTACTGGTTCGGCATGCGCTTCGTCTCGTGGTGTCGTGTTCGTGCGTACCTTTAGGTACCTAGGTAATCAGGGAGAGCCGTTCGTCCCTTCCTCCTTGCTATCGCGATCAGAACCTCACCCTCTTGCGTGGTCATCACGCCTCTACCAGCTTTCTACCTTATTTCCTTTCGACTGTTATTTCTATGATCCAATCTTTGTTAATTACATGTCGACAACTGCCACATTCATCTATTGATGATGTCAATGCTGTAATCTCGATTGCCATAACCTCCCCTCTGTCGCAACGCAACACTCGTTCGCCCTGAACCGCTTTTGCTATGTCGACGCCGGCAGGACCACCGGCCAAGGCCGGGCGTCCATCACGAACCTCTGCTGTGGGCAACATCTTCTCTCTGCCGCCGCGATGGCTTCAGTCCTACGACGACTTCATCACCAAAAACGCTAGCCAAGTGTCGCAAATAGAATCGGGCTTGCGATCGCTAACCTACGTCATTCCCGGTATTGCCCCCTCCTCCAGGCAACCTCCACCGTTAGAGGGCCAGCTTCAGTTCTCTAAGGTATCTATGTGCTGACCTTCACCCGACAGGACGCTTCCGCGATGCCGAGCTGGCGTCCGAAACCATTCACTCGAGCGTGCAACTATTATCTCTCTACCACGACACCCTCCTCATGCGAGCCCTCTCCCGCCTCCCCATCTCAAGGATACCATCACCGCACGGCCGATACACCAAGTTCTGGTCCCAACGCAGCCCCGTGTACCGGAGGATAGCATTGCTCTTACAGATGGTCACGTACACCCAGCTCTTGTGCGAAATGGCGGCGAAGAGGAAAGGCGGGGAGCGGCAGCGGTGGCGCGTTGTTGTCTTGCTCGAGGCCATCAAGGCCTTTTGCCGGTTGCTTCTGCTACGCATTACTCGAGTGCGACCTCTCGTTACGCCGGTGCTCCCCGAGCGTGAACCGATTCCTGAGGAGGCGGACGAGAACGCCGGTGCGGAGCTGAACGAACTGATAGGCGCCACATCGGACGACAATGACAATGACCATGCGGCGGAAGCTGACACCGACGCGGTCAAACCCCACGAGAAGGAGTGGCCCATGCCTCGAACGGGAATGAGCCTCCCGTCGCTGCCAAAGCCTGACGACATCAGCGGCTACCTGCTGAGCAAGGTATTGACGGCCGATGATATTAAACCGGCTCCCAAGCTTCTGAACCAGGCTCAGGGATCGGCGCAGGCTGCGGAGGTGCTTCATATTCTGGCGCCGTTGGTGTACGCTATCGCCCTCGCGCGGTCCAAGAACAAGCACGCCTGGACACCATGGCTCATGGGGTTAAGCGTCGAGTATGTGGCACGTCAGCTGCGGGTCCGCGACTTCCGAACCACACCGCTAGAAAGGGAGGAATGGAACAAGAGGGGTTGGGCGATGGGCTGGTGGGCGATGCGGGGAGCATTCTACGACAGGGTCACCAAGGGGTTCGTCGAGGGACTCCGGTCCCGCGTTCCCAGCCTCGTGGGGGGCATTCTGGAAGATTACGAGTACCTGTGGGAAAACTACTACTTCAGTACCAGCGCGTAAAAATAATACACCAGCTCAGCAGCTACTCGCCCGCCCTTGCATGACGGCTTTTCTGTCAGAAACTCTCGCGAGTCCTTGGAGGAAGAACTGGAGAAAGTCATCTCCCCCAACCGATACCGTGGGTCCTCAATTGGTCGGTCGTTGTCTCCCGGAAAAAAAAAAAGAGAGAGAGAGAGAGAGAGAGAGAGATTGCGCGTGCCGATATCACTTCTGGGCACACCAACGCACGAGCGGGTTTTACTCCATATTATGTGCGGGACAAGACATCCCCCATGCACGCCGAAAGATGGATGGAACTCCGAAGTAATGCGTTTCGCCGCTCGTAGCGTCGAGTTAAAAGGCAAACAAAGTTAAAAATAGCATTCGCTGCGCAGATGAATACCCTCTACACTACCAGGCATGATCCCAATATAGCAGAGTAGAACTTGGTCATGAACGTGTATGGGAGGAGACCATGCGCCAACAGCTCGGGCCGATCGTACGAGACCTGCTTCATACACCAATGTCTTTTGTCAGGTGCGTCGATTAATCAACAGCTGAACGAATAGCTGCTTGGTGCCTTCGATGAATGGCGATTGCGATTGTTGACTCTGGACGAGCGAGTTGCGGTGTGACTGACCATCCGTGCGGAACAAGCTCACCTACCCCCCCCCCCCCCCCCCCCCCCCCCCCCCCCCCCCTCTTCTTCCCACACTAACGAAGTGCGAATACGAAAACGAAGCCTGTATGTAGACCATCGCCATATCTCCGAATGGGATGGGCTAAAGAACTTCGGGGAGCCCGACGACCTGGGTGGTCGGTCGCTTAACGCGGGCCGTCGCGATCCACATCACAGGTTTATTGGTTAAACGTGACTATTGACCTGCTTAATAAACTAGTGGTCCGCGAGCCTCCAAGATTGATGGGCAACCTGCTTCGAACTTCGAACTCGGGAGCAGCCAAAGGAACGATGAGCCAGCCAGGGATGACAAAAGGCACATGTGGAAGAGGCTCTCACAAGCCACAAAGACGCCGACGTCCACCCGAGAACCCTCAAACGGAACCGAACTGACCTATATTCGGCGAAGACCCTGTTTTCAGGTGATGTGCCCTGGCCAGACCTTTTTGGTCGCTAGTGAGGGAAGAAAAAAGAAAGCGTTTCAACGCAACTCCAGCCACCGGTCTGAGACATTCACTCACACCTATTTCCTGGTTGTACTCCGTACGTTGTATCTCTGGACCTTCGTTTGAGTCAAGAGCTAGCCGCAGCAGTGCTGGCAGTGCTGGGCATGCAGATTTTACCCGCCTTGTGCCACTTCATTGGTCTGCACTCCGTCGCGCCCCCAGATCTACCAACGCCGATCCATCGAGTTGTTCTACTGTAGTGAAGGGGAGATAGACCGCTGGCATGATGGTTCAGGGCATCGTGATGGCTAGACCGTTACCGTATGCCGCAGGGGACACTGTAACAACTCGACAGAGTCCCCATAAAATTAGTAGGTAAACTCTTATCAGATGCCACTACACACTTATCGGGGTGTGATATACTATATTATATTAGACGTGTAGAGTACCTCGATCCTATATATCCACACTTATTTCCCCTAGGTTTTCCCTATAGTTAGACATTCCCACAGAGTACCTTTTACTCTGCTTCAATGCATACACATATCTTTTTACGTACTTTATTTATGTGCTGACACAACTCTATAAGGTAGGCATGAAAATAAACACCCGTACGCTGTAGTACATGAATGTATATGTAAATACGCTAGTAGCAAACAAAAAGTCTATGACGTAATGATGAGCTAATAAGCTGCGAGGAAACCCGTGCCGAGTCCAGTCCTGTCCTCTCCCCCCACTGCCAACTACAGTGTAGAGGCTCCGCGATGCTTGCCCCGATCGCCCTCGCCCGCCCACGCCCACTCCGATCATCTCGGTCTCTTAGTCGATTTTTCTTGCCATTGGAGGTTTCTGTTTCTCTGGAAGTTCTCGAGGCCACGGATCGTGACCTCGAGTCGAGATTGCCACTTCGAAGCTCCGGGTTGACCGGGATAACCCCCAAAGACGTCGCGTTGGATTTCAGTGATGTTTGCTTGAGCCGCATGGAGGGGGAGAAGAGGGGTAATACGAAGTAGGTGAACCCTAATGATCCAGACCAGCATGCCAACGGGCCTCCGAGGCTTTCGCCGTGGGCACACTGTCTCCCATCGTCTGGTCTGCACCGGTAGGAGGCGCGTTACCGTTCCTGAATACGCTGGGCTGTGGCTCCTCTCACATGCCATCCCACACCGCACTCGCCACGAACGCTTAACTCCGGGTACTCAAATTGGTAGTTTCCGCCTCGCGTGGAAGTCCATTTTGTCTTGCTCGCCTTGGGAGCCTTTTATTCTTCTACCTCTTGCCATCCGGTATATTGCCTACTTGAATGCACCGTCTGCTTCGGATGCCCTACGGACATGAGCCAGCCCAGCGGCACAGCCCGCACACGGCCATAGTTTTGAGAAGGGGTAGCTTGCCAATCCCCCTGGACACCCGTTATGCTCTCTACGTTCCCCAGCATCTTCAGCTCAAAATATCTGCACCTCCTGTCAGTGGCCGCCACCCCCTTTCCCCCAACTCCTATGCTCGAACGTCAAGCCGAGGACGCGGAGGCTTCCTTCCTCCCGAGCCTTCCACTGTCCTCTGGCTGGATCGGCACAGTTCTACCCGATGCGCCAGCTGAAACGGTACAGGGTGGGCATCTCCTCGGACAAGACAGCGAGACTAGCATGGACCTTGGAACAGAGCTCCTCCCCGCAAATCAGTCTTGGCCCGGTGCTCCCGATTCCGCCTCGGCATATTTGCACGCCGCGCAGCCTCCCAATCTGATCGTCGACCCGAACCAGCTGTCAACCCCCGACCTGACTCGGCCGAAGGAGACGACTATCAGGCTCTATGGAAATGTAGCAGAGCATCTGCGCAACTTGAAAGAAGAGGACAGTCGGCGGATGCAGCGCACCGATAGTTCAACGTCACTCTTCGAGGAGAAGGGCGCACCGACGCGAATATTCGATTCCGTATGCATCTGCGCCGGTTACAGAGATAAAGGTCCTTCGATGGGATGGAGCTTCGACTACTTCGGCCTATCGGGGGACGGGAAGCGACGGGGCTACGGGGACGGTGTTGGATGGAGGGGGCAGGAATCAGAGGCCACCCTCCCACCAAATCAACGTCCACCCGCGGAAGTGCCGTTTATTTGCCAGTTGTGTAACCTCCGGTGGACGGGGTCCCTCTATCCGGACAGGATGTGGCGATTGAGCACGGAAGAAGAGCGCGACAGACGGCTACTTGTCAGTAATAGCTTACCGTTCTGGAAGCGATTTCCTTTGCAAGGGAATATTCTTCTTTTCTTTCTTTCCTCTTTTCCTTCTTCATTTTCATCTCCTTTTTTTTCTTCGTTCTTTTCTTTTTTCTTTTCTCTTTTGTTTATATATCTTGACCTTGCTTTCTTACTTCGCATCGCACTGACTGACCTCTCGACACTGCTAACAATATCACCACCCACTTGCAGCGTGCACCGCGCGATCCGCTGAGGGACCCGGACTTTTCGCGGCCTGACTTCTACCAGGTAACCAGACAGTCTCCTGTTGCCTTTCGTACCCCCTTGTCGTTGTTGACATGCATGCTTCTGGTCCCATCGATGGCTGACTGTCGCTGTGCGGCGCCTAGTTTCAATGGTACCTGAAGCACCAACATGATCTCCTAGACCCCTGTGTCAGGGAAGTTTGCGGACAAAGTCAGCCGAAGAACCCTCACCAGGAAATCAAGCGCTTATACAGCAAGGGCGAGGACGGGAAGTTCAAGCACTGCTGCCCGCCTGGCCAGCTCGGCGATCCCAACGTGAAGGTCCATGATTTCCTCCGGGGCTTCTACTTTTGCCCTTTCGACAACTGTCCGAGTGTCTACCATACGCTGCCCGGAATCTCAGTACGCGCTTAATCCCCATTCTCCCTATTTGGTGTTCGGGACTGCGCCCACCTGTGCATCATGACCAAGCCCAAAGGCTAATGAAACGTTGTTTTCTTCTTCTCTTCTTTTTGCGCTGCCAGGAACACCTTTTCCACGCTGATATACACTACGCGTACCTCCAGGCCCTCAAAGAATGGGTTTCCGCGCGCAAGGACTTGAACTGGGCCGACCGAACTATCTGCTCGCGCCTTACTCGAATTTTCAACAACGTCGACAGCTCGGGAAAGATCACAATCATGTCTCAGTCGCTTACCCCTGACCAGGTCCTCACTCCAGCCGAGCCCTCGCAACATTGGAGGTGGATGGAGCGTCTCGATCGCCAGCCGAAGCCGAGAAAGGACAGGAAATCAAAGGCCTCTGCTGCCGCGTCGGCTCGGGGTCGTTCAGGGCGCGGAGCCGGAGCACCATCGTCGACCGCACATGATGTGTACGGGGGATACCGGCGACAACACCAAGGCCCGTTTCAGGGCCATCACCATCGCCACCACCATCAGCCTCAGTACCAACAAAAGCAGTACCAGCCCCAATTCCAGCAATATCAGGGGTCGTCCCACCTACAGTATGAGCAGCAGCGGCAGCCGCCGCACCTGCACCGACCTTCTCAGAACTCTCACCAACAGTACCCGCTTCAAGCGCAGCAGCTTCCGCAACAACAACAACCGCAGCAACAACAACCGCATCCGTACTACCACCATCCATAACCAGCAGTCCCAACCCCCATCACCACATAGCTAAAGCAACAAAGCTACTCGCATACAAAAGTGGATAAGAAACAAACATACACCTATCCAGCTAACCTAACCATGCCCACTATCCAGATAAGGAAGGGGTGGCAGGAGACAGGAAACCGAGAGGACAGGGCTACTATCAGCAGATCCTGATGGATGCAACCGCCCATTACCAGCAATATCATCTTCTCCTCTCCGGCTTGCTTCCGATATACGAATCGCTTCCTCTTGGTGGACTTTCTTTTCTTCTTTTACTTGTCCAGCATACGGTCTTTCTCGATCTTCGGGCGCTCACTTACATACGGGCGGCGTTCTTGTTTGTTCATCTGAGATACCACAGTTTCTCGTACACCTGCTCCGATACACGTTCTAGCGAAATTCACATTTATTGCATACTCCTTTGCATCTCCGCCAAAAGTTGCCCAGTGACACTGGACCGATCTGCCTCGTCTGGTTGTTTCCATGGTTGCAATGTATGAAGTTCTCTACTACTATGCTGATACAAGTTTGCGCCAACACCTCTCAAAAACAGAGCCGACGGATGAGTATTACCGAAGACGGATTCTTGAAAGTTTAACTCGTCTTTCTCCTTTCTCCATCATGATTATGGTGTTTCTTCTTCCGGCACATCGTGACTGAGTCCCTTGTATTTCTTTATTTGCACTACCACACTACGGTTGCGCATAAAACCAAAATTTAGTCCGGTTTCAGGCCTGCAAAACAAAACCAGACTCAACCGGAAAGAAGGGGGAGGGGGGGGGGGAGAAGAAGAAAAAAGGTCGGAAGCAGACACAGCACAGGCTCGCCATATTAGGACACGACAGGCAAAGAAGCAATACGAGCCAAACATAACGCGAAAAAAAAATGGTCCCAGAGAGGCTCGAACTCTCGGCCTTCGCATCACCTAGTACACTGTGGTATTGTATTAGTACGACTGGGGAGGGATTAGTGATTTTGCTCTGTCGACTGGAGGAATGGATGGATCGCAACATACCGCTCTAACCAATTGAGCTATGGGACCGGACCGGTTCGGGTACTGTCCGAGCGCATGGAGTGAGGTATAAATTATTGACAGACCGGAATCAACCCGCGCGATGGGGCACAAAATCGCCTAGTATTTGGGTGATGCCGAAGATGAGGATCCCCGAATGCATTGCAGACGGAACCAGGGGACAGAGCCAAGATGGGGGAAAAGAGAAGAGAAGGATCTTGGTGGTGACTTTTAAATATAAGTCTCAGTCCCACCTGTACGGATACTTTGTAGTACCGGTACGAATATTAGGTATGGCGAGGCCGGAAGGAACGTGTTCTTGGATCCGATTCGATAGCGGGTAATTTGCCCGGCTCTTTTTTTCTCCTTTTTTCTCCTTTTTTCTCTATTTTTTTATTTTATTTTCCTTCTTCAACAACTCTGGCCTATTCTCGGCATCCTTTTCTACCATCCTGACAGAGCCCAAACCCCAGCCTGTATCCAACTCTGGTCACTCTCTGGGCCACCTTTTCCGGCGGCCTAACAAGTGTCTCTTCTGTTGCCTCACCAATTTATGTTACAATTGTCATCTATTATCATTCTTTGTTCTTGAACCTTCCTCTCCTTTATGTATTTACTCTAGGGACTTCCGCGAGCAAATCCGGCTTCTCCAAATCCCTCCTTCATCAGCAGCTGTTCCTCCAAGTATTATGTTATGCATGAAAATATCACGCCTGTCCTGTTCGAGATCTTCCGTCTGATGCTGGAGCTCTTCACTTTTACACGGCAAGTTCCTTCACTCTAGGTCGACGTTATGCCCAATGGTCGCTCACCGGTGGAAGTGTAGACGGTCTTGGCCTCTTCTAGAGTCGTCGAGCTCACCTCCCAAGGGCAAGGCATACAGGACCCACCTTCTGACCCTGATGTGAAGCCTCGGAGTTCCTTTGTGTTGAAATCGAGTCCTAACCCCGGATCCAGGAGTAGCGGTATCCCGTGTACCCCCTTCTGGTCTTCCGCATAAGCGTATCCTATTTAGGATCCCCTGCTAAGTGTTTTCGTCGGCTAGGAAATTAGTGTCTATGCCGAAAGTCCCGGTACATCGTAAGATCGTGGACTACTAGGTCGCTAGAGGTACTATCTAGGTATCTAGTCACTGTAATTAGCTAGGGGGGTACCTAAACGATACCTAAGACTACCCACGCATCAGCCTAAATTCTAGGCCGTGATAGTATACCTTTACGGACTTAAGCAGGGTTTCGTGTGTTAAAGCCCTTAAGGGCGTAGGCGGTTTCGGACAAGGGAAGGACATTATAAGATTTTAAGGCTCGAGATCAATGAAATTATCTTTAAAATAGCAGCGAATTCGTACGTTAAAGTATCTAAGGTAAGTCGGGTAAAAACTCTTCGTCTTCTTCGTGTCCACGATCTTACGATGTACCGGGACTTTCGGTATAGACGCTGATTTCCTAGCCGAGGAACGCCCTCGGGCAGCGCGGCCTAAATAGGATACGCTTATGCGGAAGACCAGAAGGGGGTATGCGGGATACCGCTACTCCGGATCCAGACCTGCCCGAGACCGGGGCATTTATTAGTCATCCCGGGAACTTCCATTACCAACCAGTAGGAGTACCGGGCCGTTGGTTCCGTCTCATCCTCAGACGCCCCAGCCAGTCCTGAGCTGACTTATCCTTTTATACGTTGATGCAGGTACACCAATAATTAATAACTTTCCCCTATAAGGTCAGTCCCCTCCTTTTTCGCGTCTGGAGACGGGGCTTTCATACATAATGTAGTCGGGCTTCCTCGTCCCGCAAAAGCAAGACATTTGGCAGGGGAATACCTACCCCTTTCGATCTGGGTTATCCGTAACTTACTTTGTCCGGAAACTTTCTGAATCATCCAACCTTACAGCGGGACGTGGTACGGGTATGGTTCGTACCATGGTTTTCTTAATTCTGGTCACCGGCGTCCCAACCACATGGGAAGATCGACCCGTGGGTATAACAAATTCTTCTTTTTCTTTTTCTTTTTGTTTTTGTTTCTGTTTTTGTTTTTGTTTTGCTCGCCCAATTCTGACCATTTTGTCCACAATTGATGGAACGGGACGTCGGGCTGCCTTCTCCCATATCCTTTTTCCCATGCTCTCCGTGTCAGAAACAGCGTTGACGGGTAACGGTTAATACGATAAGACGACGTAAACGGCAGTTGATCTGTTGATTCAATTAAAGGTGTAAGAACTAGAGACCTGTAGGTCGAAGAATTCAAAACGTCCGGGCTGCGCAGGTCCTTCCCTATATATAAAGAATATATACTAGCGCGTAGGTTATAATAATATTAAGATTCATGCACCCCTAGAGTCGATAGAAGGGCATCATTCATGCTCAATAATCTCATAATGAGAATGAAGAAGATAATCAATATATAATAGGAAAATAAACCTAATATAGGGAATTAAGGAAATTAAGAAGCAGGGGTAAAAGGGAGTGGAAATGAATAAACATACATGACAAGTTATTCGCTGGTGGTCAGTCACTACTACACAAATCTGGCTTGTATACATACATGCTTTCACTGAGCTAGTGCTCCAACATGGAAGCTCAATGTAGTATGATTGAGGCTAATGTCGACATGTTGATACTGAACAAGGTCCGGCGGTGCTTAAAGTGATGACTGCCTATATAAGACTCTCTGGCAGTCGATCCAATTCCTCGAACAGCACACATTCGAGCGTCAGGAGCCTTTGTCATGAACTTCTAGCCCCCCTCCCCGCCCCTCGTGAGCTCTTTGAATCCTTCATGCTGCGTCCCCGAATCTGAAGGCGGTCATCAGTAGCGACGCAGACGAGGGCAAAATGCGTCGGGTGTTAAAATCTCGTATAACATCCAAGGGGAGGGGTCCAGATGCATGGTTCCCGGCGGAGGCTTGGGGTGATTCGAAGGTCCAAGAAACCGACCAAAAACGCCCCGTGAGGGCTCAAGGCCCGTGATTTTCAAACCTTTTGCTTTGCATTTGTTTTCGAGTGCCGCCGCGTCATCCATCAAAGAAGGAAACGAAGGTCCTGGTGTAAACAGGTCCGTATGTTGATAATAAAGCAGGGTAGAGCGGGGAGCCCATGCAGGCAACAACAAGACAAGAGACATTTTAACCAGAAAAACACTCCTCCACTGTGTCTCGAGAGCTGCAGCAGATGGAGGATGCTTTGATGAGGCCAATGGAGCTTGAACTATACCAAGCGATGAGGAACTGGCCGATAAATCGCGTCTATTGGGATGATGTGCTAGGGTGTTGTCGCGTCTAAGTCTGTCCCTCTTGCGTCTAATTACGAAGTACAAGTGAGAACCAACAGCCAACGACAACGCCTAGTCAGGTGACCTGAACGACGCCACCCACCCCGCCCCCAGAACCATCGGACCCTGTTGTTTCCACTTTCATACACGACAGCTCCAAAGACAACCTAAAAAGCAGCTTTGAAGCAGCTTTTTAAGCAGGGGCGGGACGTAAAGGCAGCAAAAGGAAGGCCGTTTCTGTTCGGTGAGGTGCAGACTGGGTGCAAACTGCCAAGACGGGTTGGAAAGGGGCTGGGAACCCGACTACCCAGGCACTGCTGCGGACCGGCACTCAAGTCCGTCACAACCGCCTGCGATTCTCAGACCCTAGCATAGCTGGACACGTTGTGCCGGCGCTTGGAAATCGGCTTTATGATAGGTACTTCGTAAGGTACGTATGAAGCGCGAGTACTCCGTACTGAGTACAACGCACAAGAAGACGCGTCTTCGCAAGCTCCGTACATGTTTGAATACATATATACCGCTGGTTCCTGGATGGTTAAAAGCATGTCGGGGTTTTCAGTTTTCACCCCCTCTTGCCAACTGGCAAGGTATTCCCTGCAACGAACGGTTTATCACATCATATCTCGTCCCAATGTAGGCGCAGAGCTCCAGCGGCAACCGAGAGCGGATACATAGGCGGAGAGGCGTCCGATGTCCGACCGTTTTCAAAAACCATTCCCTCTTTCTTCTTCTCAGGGGCTTGATGTTGTAAGCAACGACGCACGATCCAATACATTACATGTGCAGGGAGGCTGATCACTGAGATTGGGACTTTGTTGGATGCAATATCGAATACAACTGTACACGATGAGCAAAAGATCTCACACTCCATCGAGAGAGCGAAAGTCCGCAGACTAAAATACGCAGTAGGGTAATGGTCCCATAGGATAAAAGCGATCGATCTGGCTTGGAAATGAGATACATATGAAAACGTACGGAGTAACGGTGAGATGATCAATACCACAAGGTAAGAGCCCTGGTTGGCTGGTTGAAAACCAAGAATCGGGGTTAAAAGGCTTTGCTGGGGACGGAAAAGGAGGGGAAAGATAATGTAATTGCCCAATACAAGGTAGAGACGTAGGCGCTTAGTACCTGCGAGAGACAAAATTGCGGCAGTCCACAACAATGTGATGCGCCTCCATAAAGGAAGAGAGCTAAATTGCTACTTCGTACCATTCGTATGGACTACGAGTTCGAAGTCACGAATTAGCATATCTCTTAAGGTATATCTCCTCACAACAGCAAGCTGCGTAGGAGGGGCACTCCGTTGTCTTTAAAGTTGAACAGGTTCGGAGAAGTACTTTCGGGTTTCGTACGGAGTGCATATGAATGGCAACAAGTTGGAGAAAACGAGCTCCTAGAGGTCGCAGGGTCCTCCAAGGGATCAGTGCGGTACTAAACCCCTTCGGGCTGTTGATTAATGAGATGATGGAAAGACCTCTCAGAAGAGTAAGGATCATGACCAAGTCCGACAAGGGGCTAGACAGGGGTCGTACAGGGGCAGCGCGACGGAAAAAGGGGGAATAGCCCCCCCAGGCCGTCAACGCTGCAATCTAACTGGCCAAGGAGATCCCGAAGAGGTACGTACCTTACGGAAGAACATGGGCCCAAAAGCCGTTTCGAAACAACTTGCCCGTTGCTCGCCGTTACCTACACGTACAACGTGGTACCTTACTTTTACCAGCATTCGTAAGTATGGTACCTTGTTAAGTACAACGTATGGCCGAACTTTGAACTTGCCAATTGCCGCAAATGACACGGCGGATAGTCATTGCTCTTTCCCTCCCCTCTGTTGAGAGTGCGGAGGCACGATACCGATGATACACATACACCTTAAGGTACTCTCGTACGTAGAACGTAGTACCGAGTACCTCTGATGACGAGTAAGGTACCTAGCATACCACGCGTGTGTACTCGTGTACTCGGTAGCACCAGTAGGATACGATACGGGTTCTTAGAATCTGTTTCAGGTGGGCTCTCGGCTCCTCCCATGGTCCATTCTTCGAGCCTCAGTGTTTCCCGTTACAACCGCTTGTTTCTCATTGTTTCTACTACGGATAAACTCCGATCTCCTTTGCCAACATCACACATCTCTTGCCTATTCTGCTTGGAGAGGCTGGGCACTGAGCAGGAAAGAGACCCTGGCGGCATCGGTGAACACGAGGCACTCGAAACACTGGGGACGGACTAGTATCTCCAAGCCACCACCACCACCACCACCAGTCCTTGTCAGCTCATCCCCCCTTTCCAACGCGTTTCTTCTGGCCTCACTGCCTGTTCCTGCCTCTTCTACCTCATGATTACAACACCAGCCACGCGTGTTTCGAGATCGACCAACAGCCGATACTCTTGGCAGGTTGGTACCTGCTGAAGTGTCGAAGATCTCCTCCAGCTATCTAGGTGTGAGGGTGTGATCTTCACTGGGCAATACCTCCCGATACTCCAACGCTTTCGGACCCCCCTTTCTATTATCTTTTAATCTCTTATTACTATCCGATATCCTCACATCAATTTCCACGGCGGCAGCACGACGGCCAACGTGGCCAACCAAGGATCGACCGGCCCCAGAACGGAGGGGGCATGGTCAAAATAGAATAAAATAAAATCAAAACAGGGCCGCGTTGAATCAGAAGACGAGGGTGAGTAAAAGTGGTGTAATAAGTTGTGCGCACGAATGAGAGAGGAGAATGACCCAGAACCGAAAGAGCAAGCAACACCTTCATTACATTACCCATGCCCGTCAATGCTTCGCTCAAACCTCCCACCACCCCTGTCCTGGTGCTGCTGGGCCACCTTGCACCTTGCTGTATTCCACTTGCTCCTCCTCTTGCTCCTCCCGTTCCTGTCCCTGTTCCCATTCCCATTCCCATTCCTATTCCTTCCCTGCTCCGTCCGCCCTTTATCCTCTGTTCCTGGCTGACAACAAATCTCTCAGCTCTCCACCGTGGAGGTCGTCTTGGGCCTTGTCTTCCCCAACCTTTGCCCTTCTTCCATCTCCAAAACAACCAGCCCCCATATCAGCGTCCGATCCAGTCAATCATTTTTCCTCGCTCATAATCGTCTAATCTTGCAGTCCTAACTGGAAGCTTGCGTTTTGTTCGGGTGGGCTTTTTCCCTTTTATATATATATATATATATATATATATATATATATATATATATATTCTGTTTATTTTCTCGCGCCTCGTTGCACGCTCGTTTTTTTTATCGCTCGCTCTCTGCGTCGAAAGTCCGAACAACCACGGAGAAACGAAGGATTGAGAAAGTGTCGAAACAAGAATCGAACAAGAATACCGACCACGACGCGAACCTTAGCACCATTGGAGCTGGTACCTGGCCACAGATCAATCCCTTTTACCAGATTATTCTTCCGTCCAACTCGAGTCGCTCGTTTTATTCCCCCCCCCTGCGCTGCGCCCACGATAAACCCGTTCACCGCCGATTCGGAGCTCGAAGCCCTCATCCACCCCAGTCTGCCACATCGCGCTCTTCGGAAGAGACGTAGGGCCCGTCGTCGTTCTCTGGCGGTCCACACGTCGCATCCATAAGAAACGAGAAATCGAATACCCGAGATGGACCAACCAATGCAGGACGCACCAGCCGACGTCCTGGTCGAGGCCAGGCGGACCCTAGAAGCCTTGAAGAGCTCAGGACTGTCGCGCGAAGTGTTGCTCGAGATGTGGGAGGCCGGAGACCGCGCCTCGTCGCAATCGTCGCCCGATTCCGTCTTGGAAGATTCCTCTAACCGAGGTGCGTCGTCGAGTCTGTCGCCTACGTCAGCTACCATGTCATCCTTGCCCCAGGGAATATGCCACACTCAGCTCGGTCACCGGCCACGCATCTCCGTCTCGTCTACCAGCTCGGGCTCGTCGGGCCATGCCAGCATCTGGTCCATGGGTTCAATGCACTCGACTGCCTCCGTCGCCACACAGTACTCGCAGGCCCCTCTGCCCTCGCCGCCGTCGCAAGTACCTCATCATCATATGCCGGCGCAACCTGTTGCTGTTCCTGGAAACCCGCTGTCCCATGTTACGAACACCCAGCCCGGGTGGGGTCCCGGGAGGTTCAATTTCTACTGGTGCACGTCCTGCGAGACGAGGTTCAAGCGCAAATACGACTGGAAGCGCCACGAGGAGGAATTCCACGAAAGGTGGAAGAAGTACCCGTGCCCCGAGCCTGGCTGCAATCGGAGCTTCTGGGGCGCCAACACGTTCAACCAGCATCATAAGTCGTCCCACGGATGCAAGACATGCCCGCACTCCGAGAAGGTGGTCAGATTTCTCAAGAGAAGAAAATACTGGGCCTGCGGCTTTTGCTCGGCTTTGCACCCCTCGCGCGAACGCCACGTTGAACATGTCGCTCGGCACTTCGAATCCGGGAAGACCAAATCGGACTGGATGCACTCTAGAGTCATCTACGGCCTGTTGCACCAGCCCCTCATCCACGAGGCTTGGAAGGACCTGTTAGGAAGCAAGGCGTCCGAGTTTGCCGGACGTCAGCCCAATTTCAGCTGGAATCCCACAGAAACCGGACGCGCCCAGGGCTTCATGGAAAACGAATGCCCCGGTCAACTACAAGACCTCCTCGAGTTCTTCTCCGGCTCCAACACCGACGCCGAGTCGATCGTAGGGCTCGCTTACGAGCTAGCTGACCTCGTCTTTCTGAACGTCCCGGCGTCGCCGCCAATGGATTACGCACAATGCTACCCACCCGGGGCATCGAACGGAATGATGCCGACTGCTCCTCCGCAGCAGCAGCAGCAGCAGCAACAGCAACAGCAACAACAACAGCAACAACAACAACAACAACAACGACCACCGCCGCCGCAACAGCAACCTCAGCCCCAAGGCTATGCAGCCCCGCATCTCCTCCCCGCCCCTGCCATTCATTCACAATCTCTCTCTCCTCAACAGCAGTCTGCTCCAAGTCTGCCGGCTCAGCAGGGAGGACACCATCATCAGTTCATGGGTCAGATGAACCCGTTGAAACAAGAACAAGAACAACAACAACCGCCGATGAGCCACCTAGGTCCTCAACACCAGCAGCAGATGATGGCCCCTCCCTTGTTCCACGCGCCGTCATTGGTACCACATCGTGGGAGTGCAGAGCCCATTCCGCGGTCCTCGCTCGACCGCGAACTCCCCCCACCTCCGCCGGAGGAGACCCCTATGAACTTCAACTATATGCCCAACAACGGTGTCCTTTTCGAAGATTGGCAGAGCTTCGGAAGCACGGTAGTCGACGAGCAGGGCCCTTCACCAACACCCGTTTCAGCAGAGTGGCCCGCCGTACACATGCAGTACTATCACCCTGCGCCGACCGGGCAGTGAGGGCCACGTTGATCCCCAGTATATGGACCAAATCATATGTCATATTTGTCAGCCTACTGCTACCCTCGTGGATGATGGGTTGGTGAGCAGAGGCTAGTATATAATGGTTAATATTCATTTTACCTTTGAAGCTCCATTCTTGTTTCTTTTGTATCTTGACCGAGGACCACGGTCCTTTTATTTTCTGCATATTCTCTTCATATTTTCTTCATATATTTTTTTTCTTTTTCTTTTTCTTTTTTTTCTTCTTTATCCCTTCTTTGTCATGAGTTTCTGGGTAACAAAACGAGGTTTTTGGTTGTTCGGTTGTCATCCGCGGACTGGTGACGGGGTATGGGGTCAGCCAGGCCTCGGTATAGTCGGGATCGGAAACACAGGAGGAACTACGTGCGGCCATTTGCAACTGATGTTGTTGCCTCCGTAGGAGCCAACGATTTCACACCTATGGGACGTTTACACGAGCGTCTCGTCATGCTTCATGTTCGATGGCTTGGTGGTAGTTTTGAATCATTGCTGTTCCGAGGTTGAAGGCCTGCCCTGTCTCTGTCTTCTGTCTCTTTTCTTCTCTTGCATCTCCTGGCCAATTCTTGTGCCCTATTTCCTTGCTGTATTCCTTATCCGTGCTTTACGTCTTCTCTCGCTCTCTCCTGGTCCAGACCTGGCCGGGCCAAGCAACAACCCGTCGAGGAGACAAGCGACGATGTCTTACCAGTTACCCAACTTCATCCCCACGCCAATGTCCATCTATATGTCCATCTATACTCCTTCGGCGACAGACCGCCAGCGTCATGCCTCTCCCCGCTCTTCTCCTTGCTGCAGGGCGGCTACCCACCTCTGGCTTCGATTTTCTCGGCTCAGATCTACCCCTGTCAACACGGGGTTGGCGGTTGCGGACTGTTCCCCTTACCTACCTCCGGAGGAGAAGG